TGTGATGACAAAACAACTTTTCTAAAACCAGGATAGACATAGTACACGTAGTATATGAGTTTCAATTTAGGGTTTTTGAGAACATAAGGAAAAAAAAAAATTTGTACCAGCTGAGACTGATGACAAAGTCATCGGTCAAGCACCAAATTACACGTGATTTTGATAAATAGCTCATGAATCCGAAAAGCTGACAGCATCTTGCAATTCCTATTTCTACTGCAAATAAAAACCATTATCCTGGTTCTAAAGTGACCTGCAATAATTAGGACTTCAGTAATGGAACAATATGCTGACCATTTTCTTTACTGAGAGCATTTTGAATTTAACAAGCAGTTCCTTGACATGGGAGGGGAATCTCAATCCATCCCACTCCTATCAGCTTGATGCCAGTGCCAGCAATAGATGTTCAGAGCCTGGAGAGGGGTCACTGGGCAGCAGGAGAACACCTAAAGAGCAGCACAAAGGAATTCCAGCCAGTAAGTCAGCTTCATGGGGGCCCAACTTAAATGCCCCTGTGCAAATGCACTTGGCATGGGGAATGAACAAGAGGAGTTAGAGACATGCGCACGCCTCCAGGGCTACAATCTCACTGGCATCACAGAGACTTCAACCACCTTGATACCTATTGGAGGGACAACCCAGCAGGGCATAAGCAATCCATGAGGTTCCTGGAATGTACTGATGTCAACTTCCTTCTCCAAGTGATAGAGGAGCCAACGAGGAGTGGTGCTATGCTGGACCTTGTTCTCAGCAACAAGGAGGGCCTGGTGGCGAGTGTGAAGCTCAAGGGCAGCCTTGGCTGCAGTGACCATGAAATGGTGGAGTTCAGGATCCTCAGGGCAGCGAGGAAGGCGCGTAGCAAGCTCACTACCCTGGACTTCAGGAGAGCAGTCTTTGGCCTCTTCAGGCATCTGCTTGGCAGAGTAGCATGGGATAATGCCTCACTGGGAAGAGGGGCCCAAGAAAGATGGTTAATATTCAAGGATCACCTCCTCCAAGCTCAGGAGCGATGCATCCCAACCAAGAGGAAGTCAGGTAAGAACACCAGGAGGTTGCACGGATGAACAAGGAGCTCCTGGACAAACTCAAACATAAAAAGGAAGCTTGCAGAGGGTGAAAGCAAGGACAGGTAGCCTGGGAGGAATAAAAAGAAACTGTCCAAGCAGCCAGGGATCAGGTTAGGAAGGCCAAAGCCCTGACAGAATTAAATCTGGCCAGGGATGTCAAGGGCAACAAGAAAAGCCTCTATAGGTATGTCAGTGATAAAAGGAAGACCAGGGAAAGTGTGGGCCCTCTCTGGAAGGAAACGGGCGACTCAGTTACCTGGGATATGGAGAAGGCTGAGGTACTCAACGAGTTTTTTGCCTCAGTCTTCACTGGCAAGGGCTCCAGCCACACTGCTCAAGATGCAGAAGGCAAAGACAGGGACTGGAAGAGTGAGGAACCACCCACTGTAAGAGAAGATCAGGTTCAAGAACATCTAAGGAACCTGATGAGATGCATCTGCGGGTCCTGAGGGAACTGGTGGATGAAGCATCTAAACCACTATCCATCATATCTGAGAAGCTGTGGTAGTCTGGTGAAGTTCCTGCTGACTGCAAAAGAGGAAACATAACCTCCATTTTTAAAAAGGGAAAAAACGAGGACATGGGGAGGCCAGTCAGTCTCCCCTCTGTGCCTGGCAAGATTGTAGAGCAGATCCTTCTGGAAAATAATGCTAGGGCACACAGAAAACGAGGAGGTGATCGGTGACAGTCCGCATGGCTTCACTAAGGGCAAATAATGCCTGACAAATTTGGTGGCATTCTATGATGGAGTTACAACGCTGGTGGGTAAGGGAAGGGCAACTGACATCATCTACCTGGGCTTGTGAAAAGCTTTTGACACTGTCCCACATGACATCCTTGCCTCTAAAATGGAGAGACATGCGTTTGATGGAGGAAGCACTCGGTGCATAATAAATTGGCTGGATGGTCACACTCAAAGAATTGTGGTCAACAGCTCAATGTCCAAGTGGAGAGCAGTGACGGGTAGCGTTCCTCAGGGGTTGGGCCTGGCGCTGTTTAACATCTTTGTTGGTGACACGGACAGTGGGACTGAGTGCACCCTCAGCAAGTTCACCCACATCACCGAGCTGTGTGGTGTGGGGACACGCTGAGGGCAGGGATGCCATCCAGAGGGACCTGGGCAGGCTGGAGAGGGGGCCCGGGCAAACCTCATGGAGTTCAACAAGGCCAAGGGCAAGGTCCTGCCCAGGGGCCGGGGCAATCCCCAGCACAAACCCAGGCTGGGCCCTCGAGGAGTGGCTGGAGAGCAGCCCCGATGAGAGGGACTGGGGGGGTTGGGAGGGGGAAAACTGCCCGTGAGGCAGCCCCGTGCGCTCGCAGCCCAGAACCCACCCGTGCCCTGGGCTGCAGCCAGAGCAGGGGGGGCAGCAGGGCCAGGGAGGGGATTCTCTCCCTCTGCTCCGCTCTGGGGAGACCCCCCTGCAGTGCTGGGGCCAGCTCGGGGGCCCCCAACAGCAGAAGGACCCGGAGCTGCTCGAGCGGGGCCAGAGGAGGCCACGGAGATGCTGGGGGGGCTGGAGCAGCTCCCCTGGGGGGCCGGGCTGAGAGAGTTGGGGGGGTTCAGCCTGGAGAAGAGAAGGCTCCGGGGAGCCCTTCGAGCGGCCTCCCAGGGCTTAAAGGGGGGGCAGGAGGGGGGGGGAGGGACTCTGTGATTCTATGATTCTTGGAATTCTCACTCTTGCACTGAAAGAATTTTAAAGTTTGAAATATTCAGCACCTTTCAGCTACTACAGGATAATAAATAACTACAGTATTTAAAAACTTTATAATTTTACATCAAATCACCATACCTTCATATAATTCACTATTTTAGCAAGGACTCCAAACTTGTAGCCAGAGCCTCCTGAAAGGGCTTTCAAGTTAAATGATCCATTGCTGTGATCTACAAAAGGAGAAAATGAACAATTAAATGATGCTTTCAACAACACCCTGTTGGCTCTGCACTCCATCTCTTTCTCACTCTACTTCCATAAGCTTTCAGAAGGACAGCTACGAACAGAAATGCATGTTGCAGGAGCACTTACCCTCAGAGGATTGTGCTATCACACGTGTTGATCCAGACTCACAGAGTTACCTGTTGACAGACATGGCTCTGGAACACTTCTGAGTAGAGCTCCATAAATATAAAATTATTGGGACATGACCCTTTAAGAAAACAGCAAGCTACTTCAGCATTACTACCACAGGAGTACATGTTTAATTCTGTGGCTTAACATACCATAATCATTTACACTACATTAATTCATGCTGAAATAATGCACTGCACTTTCACCCAATGATTAGCTCTACTGATAGCTTCATGCTGCTGAGATAGAAGCAGAAAGTTTCACTTATTCACAAAAGATATTCAACAGTCACACAGCAGGTGAAGGAAGGCTGTGCTTGTTATGCTGGGCTTTTTCTTTTTCTTTTTTTTTTTTTTTTTTTTAAGTAGATCCAGTGGACGACTTATTAAAAAAAAAAAAAAAAACATCAATTCAAAACAATTCAACTTGGTGTGTTGCACCAGTGAAACAACAGTTCAGAATCCTTTCTGTTGTCAGGTCTGGTTCGGTCTTAATGTATCTTGAGATCTGTTACTGTGTAAAGCTTGTTTCAAAAATTCTCATGAGGCTGTTAATGACTGTTTTATTACCTTTAGCTATTAGCACAGCACATTAAACAGAAATATCCACAAACCACTATCAAAAGCCACAGGCCCATTACCAGCATAACGCTGCTCAACCTTAAATGGTAACAGCTTTTCAGAATTTCAGCTACTCCAGAAAAAGAACACTTCCTCTTTGTCACCACAGTAATTTTTTAATCCCCTAGTGACTTCTAATCACATTTGACAGGACAGTAGGTATCTTGGAGATAACTGAGCTCCTATTATTTCTGTGGAAAAACAGTCCAGGGAGAGAAAAGAACAATTAAAGTCAGTGTATTGACTGAGGGAGAGGTTGCAGCGGGTGCTAAGCAAAGTCTTTGCTGGGCAGCTGGAGCATATGGATAAGAGTGGTGATAAAGAGGAGCAGAAAGGCTCAGGTGTTTGCAGTGGTGAAAAAAGAAAAAAAAAAAAAAAAAGATCATCATATTCTAGAAAGAGCACCTAAGATATTAGACAAAGACTCAGCACCTCCACCAAGTAAGCAGCAGGCTTAGAGAAAGTCTGCTACATTTGCTGTGTTTAAATTCAGATGCCTTTGCCAAGCTCTCCACAGGAAACTCCAAATTAAGTCTCCCAAATCCCTATGCTTTGGGTGAATTTTTTTCATGTCTGTCCCACTGCATCTCAACCTACTTCTAAGCTGATCTGTAAGTCACTATAAAAAGCAACTACAAGGTGGGAATTTTGGAGGTAGTCAAATTTCTAACAAATCCACTTTGGATAATTATTGGGAAGACTTAATGGAAACTGGTGCTAGGGTAGTAAAAAACATAATGCCGAAGGAACAAATGTAAAATTTAAAACTTGGCAACTGGTAATTGTGAAGCTATTACATGACATCGTATTAGAGGCTTTACATAACACAACAATTCTAAAATTAACGTAGAAGAATCATAATTCCAGCTACAGGAGAACATTTTATTCTAGTTACTAAATTAAGATGGAAAAAGGGAGAAAAAACAAAAGCCAGCTCCCCCTGAAAATACAGCCTATAGGGATTTTCCCCTACAGGGTCTCATTTTATCATTAAAAAGCAGGACATTTTACAAATGAAAAAAAGTCATACGTGTAATGAGAGGTCTAAAGCGACTAAAATAAATTCAGAGGTACAACAAACAGTTAAGACGACTTATCATGCATTTGTTCTGTCGACTGAATCAAGAAGATTATCTTGCTTAATCTGCCTGGCTGCAGCCAGCTACAATTCATGACAAGTAAATCTAACCACATGGCAAAGATGGAAATCTGCAGATATTAACATTTCAAACGTCATGGTTTGACCAGCTGCTTTCCAGCGCAAAGCAAAGCAGAAAGCAGGGTCGCGACCACCCGCGCGCTCCCAGCGCACTTCTCCGCTAACAAGCTCATCGTGCACAAAGAGCATCCCCAAAAATGAGAGCAGGAAGGCATCTGTTTCTTCTTCAAGACAGTAAGAGTCAAATTTATGAATGATTTACGCCTGGGGTTGAGGGCTTGATGCAAATGAGCATAAAGGAAGTTGTCAGCAGCACCATGCTCTGGCCAATGGTAGGAAAGCTCCATCTTAGCTGTGCCATAGGCTGCGTTAAAAAAAGGGACCAGAACAGCGCTCTTTCAGCATCCTTTCAGACAAGAGGTAGGTGTGTATCGTTTTATAACATTGTCTTAGGTTTATCTTGATTACTGAAAGAAAATATGCCTGTAACCTATAAGCCTGTAAAAAGCTTCTTAGAATCAGAATGATTTTTCTCTAGGTGTAGCAGGTTTTTATTCCGCTGAACGCAGAGGAGGTTGTCTTGCACTATCAGACAAGCACTTTCACCATCTGTGCACTAATGGAAAATTGATGACCACTCCATCTTACCAAAATGCTAATACACCAAGCCAAGATTCCGTAAACAAAATGGATTTCATGCTTACTGGGGAGGTAGCTTGTTTCCTGCAGCCTCATGTTCCTTGTAACTCGTTCTGTATGTTTTTACAGAAATGACAGTGAGAGGGTTTTCCTTGAAACAAAGACAGCTAAACCTGAAATTTAAGAAATGTAACTCCCAAGTGGGTATTCTGTAAAGCGCATCAATTAAGCTGTCTAAAAGAGACCTCTGTTTGTGGATGTGGTAGAAACTCGTTCTAGAAATTTGGTATGTTAGGGTAGGAAGAAAATCCCGTTGCATTTTATTGCCTTTGTAAATACTGGAGCAGGGATCAATACAATACAAACGGACAGGTTAGAATCCATCTGAGATTTGTAAATGGTGTTACCCCAAGATGTCTATTCAGTGGTTTCTTAAGCAGGACCTCCTCAGTACTGCACTGAAATGATTTTTTGCCAGTCATTTCCCTCTGCTCCGTGAATGTGATTTCAAATAAAGCTGCTCCTCTGCAGTGCTTAAAGATGCCGATGCTTTTAAATTAAAACCTAATACAGATATTACAGAAGCCAATTCATTAAATATTTAACTCACTGCGTTTTGGATACATACAATAGCTGAGCTGCATTCAAATCAGACCGGCTTACAGTATGAATTTAAATTCTGCCATTACAAAATAAGTAAAACTGCATGAAACCAGACCATTTTTGACAGCTTTCAAAGACGCTAACCTTATTGGTGCTGCGTTAATTCTGAAGGCTCGGCAACAGCTACTTCAGTCTTGCGTTTTAATAATTACAGCAGCGAGTAGCTGGTATTTATCTGCCTCGCCTCATTCAAATCTAAGGAGATCATCATCTTCCTCGGGAAGCACAAGCCACCTCCAGCACGGTCATGAAATCCCCCCCTCCCCACGTAAAGCTGAGCTTCCCTGCGCTGTGCAAACGGCCGCGTTAATGGTGGCTGTGGCGTGGGAGGGGGCGGCTGCTGCCCCGCGCCGGCGGCCGAGCGGCAGGGACCCCTGCCCGGGGAGCCAGGCCCTGTGAAGGAGCCCCCCTCGCTCATGGGGACAGGGCGGCGGCGGCGGCGGAGAGCCGTGCCGGCCGAGGGTCCCAGCTGCGCCACGGAAACGTGCCCGGTCTCTCCAGCGGCCCCAGTTCTTGATCGCTTTTAGCGATGACTAAAATACTCAATTTTGCGTCGGCAGAAACAGTTAATTTTTGTGCCTGGTGATTAGAGAGTGAGCAAACTTACGCGTAACAGACTCCCAACAAAAGCCTCCGTCTTGGAAATCTGTTTAAAAAGTTCAAAACAAAACCCCTCTCCTTTTTTTCCCAAGGATATTCTCCTGCCATTTATAACACACATTTAAATACTGCTTGTTTTAATTATGTCTCAAAGGAGACTCCAAATGCTTTAATTTGGCTCCCCCCCCGCCCCCCTTTTTCAAAGAAGTCTTCAGATGTTCCCTTTGAAAACCCTTCTGACTTTTAGCCCCATAAAACAACTCAGCTGAGTTTCCTTCCTAGACTGTGACCAACCCAAGCCACACTCTCAAAGCCAGGACCCAACTCAAATCAGGAGTATTTTTAGCTTGGATTTACTCTGTAAACTTTTGTTTAAGGAAAAAACCAAACAAACAAACCAAAAAACAAACAAACAAAACCAAAACAGTTTAATTAACCCTACCCATCTCAGTCATACTTTGCTTATTCAATTACAAATTTGTGTATTCAGTTACAGATTCAACAGAGGAAACAGTATATTACTGCAATTGCTCCAATAAATGTCTGTATCAAATGCTAATGCCAGGTATCTTCCCAACAACAATGCTGTTCCATTTCAATTTAAATCCATCAAAGACAGAAGGATAAAGAACAAAAGGTATAATATTTGAACAACAAAAATATCTGAACACCACAAATTGCAAGCTGGTTTGGCTGCATCATCCTGGTTTTCACAGTATCCTTTTTTTAATAAGGACACAAAAATAATGACAGGAGTTTAGACTGCTTTAAGTAATCTGTTTTAGTAGACACTGTCGCACTTTGGTTGTGTCACTTCTCATTTATTCAGGCATTTTGTAGTTTTCACTGTCTAAACTGGCTGATTGCAGAATTATTTCTGGGATACGCAAGGATCATTAAAGCATTACCTGTGAGCACAGTTTAATGAACAAAACATCAGCATTACCCCTTCATTCTGTAGTTTTGATTACTGAATGAAATTAAACTAAATGTGGGAAGCCAGGACCATTTTGTAATGAACACAGCTACTTTTTCACCTTTTGCTTTATGTTCAAAGCAAAAAATCTTTCATTGGGGCATGGAAATAAGACTCCTGGTTTCTACAAAGTTACCATCTTGTCTCTCTCTTCCCCTTCCATAATCCCATGTCTTCTGGGGCACCCCAGCAGACAAAAGCATATTTTGTGAGCTGCCCCTTGGCCAGCACACACTCACTGACAGGCTTAGACGTGGGGCACAGGCTGGTCCGTCAGTGCCGATCACCACCGCACTTCACTTAAAAACTCCTTGCTACTTCCTCAAGGGAATATGGAGATCAGACTTGATTTTCTCCCACACCCAGTTTTGAATTGCCTGAAGGATTCCAAGGTTATTACAGAATCCTACAGTACGCTACGACAGATCAACAGAAGTTAGTGTGGCTCCTTGGACATATGTTACTACATTAGACTATATACCAAAAGTATCGTAAGTTCCCTGTTTGGGAGGCAAAGCCAGAGAAAGAAGGAAACCGGGGGAAAAGAGAGACACATAACTGTAAAGATGTTATTGCCAAACACCTCATCTGCCCACTTATCCATAATTCACAAAGAAATTCAGAGACAGACAAAACTGCTTTTTTGTTCTAGATAGATATACTACAGAAATTACCGAGGCACAGCCTACTTTCACACTTTCAAGCAATGGCCTTTCCGAAACAGCGTATCTCGACAGCAACACCATTCGTGCCAAAGGCAGCCAACTCCTTGTTTCGTCTCTCCCCCACACCACAAAGCAGTCTTTTCTTCTGCTGGGTACAGAGAGACAGTATTGGACCAAAGATGACATTCCTTTCCTAGCAGTTAAGCGGAACATGCAGTTTCAAATAAGAAATCAGAACTCCTCAGAAAGGGTTGGGTTTTCCTTGTTATCTATCCTAATGACCACGGCACCACAAACAGGCTGAGATTTCCAAATGCGCTCAGTGCCGCTCTGGCGGCCGAATGAAGCAGTTGGATTTCTTGAGCACAAACTTCTACTCAACAGTGGAAAACCGGGTCAATGAACACGTCAGGAAACCTGGCCTTCTGAAATCAAAAGAGGGTTAACAAGTCTGTGCTAATAGGCAAGTGTAACAGAATGAGTTTTAAGGAACCAGGATGGCTATTTTGTACTAGAAGAACCACCAAAAGTTCAGTTCTGTTCTTTGGAAACATCCTCCAAAATAGTTATGATTTATACATTTTTTTACAGAGTGGCTTCTTTCTTTCTCCCAAATAGGAGAAAAAAAAACACAACAAACAAGCAAACAAACTCTAATGACACTAACATGTAGTAAGTTCTTCTAATCACTCAGGTATGGGAGGGTGGTACACGGGTCTCCTGTTTTTCTAAAAATGCCAAAAGAGTGCTGAGGGCTTTCATAGCATGCAGGTACCAACCTCAAGACTACCGATGGGTGTGTCATTGAAACCACTGTATGCTTGAAAATTATCTTTGTAACCTTCTCGTCTTTGCATAGACTTGAAATAAAGAAGCAAAGCTCTCTCATTCCAGAGTAACTTTCACTACATGATGCATGCACGCATCAGTCATCACTGAAATAAATGTTCCAGACATATCACAAAGTTGTACATTTGGACTCTGATGCTTTTGTGAGCAAATGTGAGTATGCAACAATCCATGTCTGTAGGAGGTGTGAGCACTTAGTCTGAGCTTAAGTTCTTACAGTTTGGGATGACTCAACCCAGGACAGATGAAAATCACAGCATGCTCTTGATCAATAGAGTCCTCAACACCTTTGTTTTTCTGTTTCAGCCCCCATATTCGTGACAGTGAGCACACCAAGACAACTCTTCAAGAATGGCAACCCTCAACACCACGCACTGGAATGAGACTACATCAGTTTCCCAGTATCTGGGCTTCCAAGTACAAAAAATTTACCCTTTCCACGATAACTGGAATACTGCCTGCTTTGTTATTCTGATCATATTCATCTTTACGGTAGTTTCTCTGGTGGTGTTGGCTTTTCTCTATGAACTGCTAGACTGTTGCTGCTGTGTGAAAAATAAAACTGTGAAAGACTTGGAGAATGAACCCAATCCTGTCAGAGCAATGATGAACAGCTTCAGAAAGCATGAAACAGAGGTGGTGTAGCAAGGACTGAGCATCAGCACTTGGAGAACGTTTAACACCTTGAATGAAGCCTCTTGTACCTTACGAATGAGCAAGTCACATGCTTTTTTTTTCTTTTGGACTTAAATATAACAGCAACAGTTATCATTTTATCTCTGGATGTGAACTTGAATAATTGGCAAAGGCTTAGCAGAATGATGATCTGTTGCAATGTTACGGGGAAAGAAAAGATTTTTGCTTTTAAATTTACTTCTGTTGTTTACATTGAGTTACTAGCATAGATCTCTGTCTACCTGAAAGAACAAGTGTTGCCTAACATGCATAAAACTATGTTGCTTAACTGGAGAAAACGTTTATAAAAATGGTCAACAATCTGATCATACATAGTGCAAAGACACAGCAGCGTCCTCCCACTGAGGTCAACCAAATAGAGACAGGAAAGACATACAAGGGGTGAGAAAAAAAGGTACGAGACAGAAGGGTTGAATGGCAAGAGATCCCATGAGGCTGGAGAGGCTTGTGTGAATTCTTGCCTTCGGCAGCTCTTCTTATCACAGGTTTCTCACTTTTTGAAGAGAGGGTGGTGGGAGGAAATGTGAGCCAACACAAAACGTATCTCCTAAAATGGTCTTTCATAACCTCCTGTGGTACAATTTGACTCCTCCTCCAGTTCCAGAAAACTGCTTTCCCCTTACTTCATATTCAACCTGTTTAATAACTTCTGGGTGTCGAGACGTGACTAATGAACTACCTTAAAAATATCTGACTGTTTCCCCAAAAGCATACTGTAGTGGTACTATGGTCTAGAAGAAACAGGGACATTTTTTTGCCCCAAGGCTGCTGCCTCTACGATAATCACAGCACTACAGGGAGTCAGACATGCTGGCTATATCATCCCTACCCTAACTTTCCAGAGCTGAACTGGAACTGACGGAGCTCTTGCCAAGCAACACAAGCAGACAGGTCGCAGACCTCCCACCCTGATGACAGTAATCTCGCCCAGCCTGCACGCAGCTTTCAGGTGTCGACATGCTTCACAAAAGAGGCCACACCAGGATAAGCCTTGCGTTAGTGACAACGGCATGGATGCGCAGAGAGCAGTGACTTCATTTTGCACAAGAGAAACTCAGCTTGCTTCCTCAGCCTGCCGATGCATCCCAGAGAGTTCACACACACACCTTTCTCACAAACTGACTGCGTAAAACTCAGACCTCTAGCTCAACAGATTATTTTTCTTCTGTAGCTGTGTTGTGACTATGGTTTTTAGAACCATAAAAGTTTTGCAGTTACAAATTACAACTGTAGTGACGGCATCCAACAGCGTGGCCATCAGTAATGCTGGGTAAGGCTTTCATAGTCCTTAACCCACAGAGAAGCAGGCCAGTGAAAAACGTCCCAGACCAAAGCTACACATGGGGCAAGATATTTAACTATGTAAAACCCAAATAATATTCCTGTCATTAAGGAAACAAAACCCACCTAATGGCCAAACGGACGAGTAAGCTACAACACTGATCTCGCAGTCTTTCTATATCAGAAATAGCTTTGTGTTATGGCCAGTACGTGTAATTGCCTCTTTCTTTTTAATACGTAAACTCTCTCCTCTATCAGGTCCAGTATGCCTAAGCTCCAAAAGATCTGGACACAATGAAAGACTTGCTAATTTGATTCATGCTCTTCCTGGTTGGTGAGATGGAGTCACAGGATACCCAAGCCACTACTAACCAGCACAGCTAGTCCAACAATTCAGCTGGAGAAACAATCTCCCTTCAATCACAAAATGACACAACTACTGCTGCAACCATTCATCCCGGATACACTTGTTATGGTGAAGTTTTGCCAGTAGCAGTCCCATGTGAAGATGCTTCTGGCTGAAAATCAAACTATAAGCACAATTAATGGAAGCTGACACCCCAGGTACAAAACAACTTAGGATTCACACCGAGACGTAAGGTGAACATAGTGTTAGTGATGGCAATGCTTTCCACTGTCAGGGCCACTGGGTAGATGCCTCACTACCTTCTGCTGTATTTGACAGCGTTAGTCCTGAAAGACCAGTGTCCTGCCCCAGAAAGGCAAGAATAGCCGCCGTGACTCACTGAATTAACTAACATGCCTCTTGCCCGAAAGCAAACACTCCAAATGGCCGTAGGACTGCTGGCCACTTGCAGTGTTCCTACAAAAAGCTCATCATGGCTGCACACAAGAAGGCAGTGTGCAGGAAGTAACACGGCTAGCCTCCACCTTGCTGGCTTCATGTCCTTATGCCTTCCTGAGAAGCACACGCAACGAAAAATCTTGGGATTTCCTCCAGCTACTTATTTCATAGATCTAGAAAGGGGGCTGGGTGTCTGCACAAGGAACAGAAGACACAGATCTCCCCTTGGACAACCCTAGGGCCTCAGCACGACTCCTTCCCACATGTAGACTAAGTCGTGAAACAGCTCCTGGAGATTCAGCTCTTGATTACTGTTGGCTAAGACCATCAGGACTAAGCTCTTCAGATAAAGACTAAGACCTTAGCCACAACTTACTATTAACTAATAAAAAGAAATAAACAGATATGATCTCTTCCATTTATTTTCCAGCTACTATTCTGAACTGAGTAAACAAAGCAGTTTTGAATATTTTCAAATAACTTGTTTGAATAACGATTTCAAATAACTATAGTAATAACAATTCTCACTGAAAAGCTTACAACAAATCTTCACACACAGGCCAGATTTAGCTATGCAGTCATGTGAAGATTAGCATGATCTCAATGGCTTTCCTCACCAGAAAAAGGGCAGGTTCTCTGATCCATAAAATCACAGAAAGAGGGAGAACATGCAGGTGCTATGCACCCAGGGACTATCAAAGCCAACACGTAATCACCGTGACATCATTCATTGTCTTTGTGGTTGCTACATGACAAAACTAGGACTGATCATCTTAATTTTTATTTCTTTGAGGGGGTGGGACAGGGATTCTTCAAGAATAGGCTTTTACTCCACCTCTGACACCATGTATATCCTGACAAACACCTAAAAATCTGGTGATTCAAATAAAACGTGGGTTTGGGGGCAAAGGACTTTGGCTCTGAAGCATCACAGGGCAACCTGTGCTGCTTGTGGCTGCTTAACCCATTCAGTCGCTTGCTAGCCCAAACCTGTGTTCTGAGCCAACTCCTAAGAACAAGAGAGAGAAAGTTTCTCTGCTGGCTCTCCATTATTTTATTTCCACCCTTATTGGTTCTGCAGTAGTTAGTAGATACTCTCCAGGAGGGAAATGAAAAGAGGCTGAACTCATTGTGCATAAAAATGTTATAGAAACCCCAAAACCTTTCTGATACTGCCTGGAATGAAGCCAGCAGCGTAAAAGATAAAGACAATTTCCTTACAGCCAGACATTTCTATTTGTGCAAGCTAATCGTTTGACAGCTACAAAAACACTTGAAGAAACCCAGAGCCCACAAAACCACAGAAAATAAATGACACTTTCTTTATCTGCTCTGCCACTTGGCCACACATCTACTCAAATCCTCCAGATCAGACTCGCATTTGAACTGTCCGCCTTCCTCCTGCCTCTCCATCTCTCCTTCCCAGCAAACCTCCCTCACTCAGCATATGCAGTTTAAGATATTCCACATAGAATTGTATTTCATTTGGAGAGGAGAGTGTGGCAAAGGGACCGATGGAAACCTGGCCTCCCTTGGTTTATTTTAAAATGCCTGGCTGATAACTTTATTTGGTACCATGAGAAGCTGGAGATACATACACAAACTCCCAACTCTTCCCCTCGGGTGCTCCACTTCTCCCATCATCCTTGCCATTTTTCTCTGTTGTTTTTAACTCCATTGTTTCTTTTGGATGTTGGAAGAGCTCCACACATGGTATTCAAAATATAATCATGAAAGGAGTTTCCACAACAGGGTATTTTGTGTTTTAGCAACTCCTGACATCTGATTTGACCTCTGGACTGCATCTGAGAACTGTCGGTGCTTTCAAAAAACTGAAAAGGCCCCCCAAGTTAGGCGCCTCGCACAATGAAAACAAACGCAGAGCATGCCATGCCACTGCGTGCCCACAAATCCTCTGCACTTTTCATTTGCTCCCACTATTTTGGTGCTGCTTTATTAACTGCTTATTTTAACTGCTTTTTACCAGCACCACCATCCCAGGGAAACAATGAAACTCCTGACCAGAGCAGACAGAAACCTACAGAAGCCCTGGTGTTCATGAACAAAGATTAGCTCAGAGGTAAAGCAAGAATGACTGCTAATCACAACACACTAACGAGACACGATGGAAGCTGCAAGATCCATCTCATGGACAGAATAGCCTATGGCTTACAGTTAACAAAATTAAGCTTTAGTCTCTCTTGCCAGAAAGACAGAGGAGAGGAAAAAAGTGAGACCACTGTGTCTGCTTGTTCTGTGGGTCCAGCAAGCACTGAAATCCACAAATCAAAGCTCAGCTTCATAATAAATCATATTTTGGCAGTAGGGATTCCCCCGACTGTGTAACAGCAAACAAGTCACAGGATGAGGCCTGACCTGTATATGTGGTAGCAAAAGTTTTCTCCCATTACGCAAGTGAATTTCTTAACAAAAAATTACTATTTCAGAGAACGAATGACAAGAGCCCCTAGCAAAATTCACAGGTAGACTGATCCATGCTAATAAACCACAGCTTTGAGGCAGCCAGCTGAAAATACCAAAGAGCTGCTGGACAGGAGACCTTCACCAACCTGTGTTTTGTTTTGAGCTTGACGAGCCACCTTGTTCTACCTTTGCTTTCTTCTTTTTGGAAGACGAGGAGTCAGAAGATGGCGCTGGACGTTTTTCTACTGCTGGTGTGGAGAGAGCACGCTTTTTGAATAGCTCTCGCTCTCTCAATAAGCTCGGATCCATAATTCTGTGAGAAGGGAAAAGGCCAGAAGGGGATATTAGAGTCAGTAAGATATCTATGAACAGAGATGCCTGTTTATGGGATTGTTTACTTGTATCCTTCTCTTCCTGCGCACGGACTTTTAGGGAACTGACCTGGCTGGGGATTTAACGCAACGCGAAGCCCCAGGGGGAGGCTGGAGGCAGAGAAGGCGATTTCTGAACCAGCCCTCAAACCCGCCTCCCGGAGGGCAAGGCCGGGGGGGGCCTCAGCGCCCGCCCCGGCGGCACCCGCCGCTCACCAGGAACTTTAAAGCCACCGGCGCGGAGGGGAACTTCGGCGGCAAGGAGGCCGCCCCCCACCCTCCTTCACCCCTCCGCCTCCGCCCCGGGAGAGCGGGACAGGGCGAAGCGCGGGCAGGGCCCCGGGGCAGCCGCCCCTCCGCACCACGGCCCGAGAGCTGCCCTGCTCCCTCCCCGGCGCCCGCCGCGCACCGGGCGGGCCGGACTCGCCCCCCCCCCCCGCCGCCGCTCACCGGAGCGCGAGGCGCAGGCCGATTTCCGCCGCTCGCCGCCTATTGGTTCATGCCGCCTTCCCGGCAGCACCCGCGCCCCGGAAGTGGGCCCGCCGTTGCCATGGCGACGCGGCGGCCAGTTGCTGTTAAAGGGCGGCGAGAGGTTTATTTTTTTTATTATTATTATTTTAATAAGAACAAATATCATACAACGAGAAGCACGAAGGTGGTGCCAGCGCCCAGGCGCTCTGGCCGCAGAGAAGGAAGAGGAAGGAGACAGGTGAAATAGGGCTCTGTACAGAAGCATGGTCGAAAGGGGAGGAAGGTAAGAAAAAAAACGTATTTTAATTTCGCTATTCAACTAAAAATCCCTTTTCTGGTCTCTGCTTTGGCTTTCTTCATCTGGGTTACAGGTAGGACTGGTTCCACTGCTGTTCCAAACCATGCTGGCACCTTCCTCTTACCAGGGGGATGCGAGCTCTGGAAAAACAAAAACAAACATATGGGGAAAAAAAAAAAAAGCAAATATTTATAGGCTAATTTACACAGCTCTACTCCCCAAAACCATGCTCATCAAGAGACATGGACTGTCTACATTATTAGTGGAAGGTTTTGTCTCCCTGAACTGCAACACCTTGTTCAAGTAATTGAAGGACTACGAACCAAGCGAGAGCCGTGGGAGGAACTAAGCCTGGGAAACATTTGACCTGAAACAACAAAGCATGCTGACAAACCTCTAAGTGTTACACTGACTTTCAGGAGTCACCTTTAAAAACAAAACAAAATGAAAAAGCACTGCAGCTCCTCCATGTGACCTAGGAAAGAATACAGCCCCAAGCAGGGAAGGGGGGGATGTCCCAAACTGGTAACACAGCAGCAGTCCCTGCAACCTCCCATTGTTACTACTTGAGAAAAAGGGACTGAAACCCACAAACAGAGCAGCGAGGGCCTGTCCCCAACCAGGCAAAGCACTTTTTCTTGCCTCCATCTCCGCCCATGGGTTATGAGCTCCGCAGGGTTTTGTCTTCCAGGGAGAGTATGAACACCCAATGCTCTCCATAACTGCTGGGTGCATCTCTTGCACTGTGGGGGAAAGATGCTATGGCAACACAAAGCCATTGACTGCTGTAAGAGCTTACACCTAAGAGATAACAGCTAGTGGGATTGAGCACACCCTCAGCAAGTTCACCCACAACACTGAGCTGTGTGGTGCAGTGACAGGTGGGAGGGCAGGGATGCCATCCAGAGGGACCTGGGCAGGCTGGAGAGCAGGGCCTGGGCAAACCTCATGGAGTTCAACAAGGCCAAGGGCGAGGTCCTGCCCGTGGGTCGGGGCAATCCCCAGCACAGACCCAGGCTGGGCCCTCGAGGAATGGCTGGAGAGCAGCCCCGAGGAGAGGGACTGGGGGGGTTGGGGGGGGGAAAACTGCCCGTGAGGCAGCCCCGTGCGCTGGCAGCCCAGAACCCACCCGTGCCCTGGGCTGCAGCCAGAGCAGGGGGGGCAGCAGGGCCAGGGAGGGGATTCTCCCTCTGCTCCGCTCTGGGGAGCCCCCCCTGCAGTGCTGGGGCCAGCTCGGGGGCCCCCAACAGCAGAAGGACCCGGAGCTGCTCGAGCGGGGCCAGAGGAGGCCACGGAGATGCTGGGGGGGCTGGAGCAGCTCCCCTGGGGGGCCGGGCTGAGAGAGTTGGGGGGGTTCAGCCTGGAGAAGAGAAGGGTCCGGGGGGACCTTCGAGCGGCCTCCCAGGGCTTAAAGGGAGGGGCAGGAGAGGTGGGGAGGGACTCTGGATCAGGGGGTGGCGGAGTAGGATTAGGGGTGACGGGTTTAAACTGTCAGAGGGCAGATTTAGGTGAGATCTAAGGCAGAAATCCTTCCCTGTGCGGGGGGTGAGGCGCTGGCCCAGGGTGCCCAGAGCAGCTGTGGCTGCCCCCTCCCTGGAAGGGTTCAAGGCCAGGTTGGACGGGGCTGGGAGCCCCCTGGGCTGGGGGAAGGGGGCCCTGCCCGGGGCAGGGGGGGGCACTGGGGGGGCTTTAAGGACTCTGCCAACCCAAACCAGTCTGTGATTCTTTTCTATGGTAAATGCATTTCTGCTCATCCTTTAGCCACCAGTTTTTAAATAATGAAAAACCAATCTCTGTTGAGATATTAATATCAAGATTATCAAGACTGCTGGTAAGCTGCCTACAGGAAACATGTCAGGAGGACTGATGTACAGCCAGGAGAGAGGTTGCTCCTAGTGCTTGCATCAAGAGGTATATGCACAACACCAGGGCTCCCAGACCAAGCTTGGGTGAAGCAGGAAGGGTTCAGAGACCATTACACTGATCATGCTTTGTTCCTGTGACACAAGAAAGGGGCTTTATTTGGAACTGATGTTCTAGAGTTGCCTAAAGCTATCACCAGCAATCAAAAAGATGTTATAATGTGTTCACTGTTTCAAATAAGATAGCTGCCGTGCTGTTTAGGAGTCGTACCTACCCCACAGAGATCAGACCATGAATAATGATTTGTCTACATCATGTTTTGCACTCACATCAATATCCAGCTTCAGACTGAAGTAAGCTATACAGCAAGTGCTGGTCAGAGCCACACAAGCTCCCTTTAGAAAAAAAACACTATACATACGCTCACACAACTTGTGTTTATATATACACCAGTGCAAAAATCCTTGACGTGATCAGCATGAAATCTCACACCACCCTATACCTGAAAGAGGAAAGGGAGCCAAATGTCCTCTTAAAATGCTGCAAGCATCTGCCACTAGATGGCTGACAAGATTTACTGGGGAAAAAAAAAAAAAAACACTGTAGCAGGCCAATGCTGTGGGGAGGTATATTCAGGCATAGCAAAGGCAGTAAATGCAGCATGCTGTCACTATATGAAGGATATTAGCAGGAGAATTTGACTGGCAATCCAGGCCAAAGTTTTAGGCACAATAGAGAACTCAGAGAGAAGCTAGGATTTCAGTTCATTAAAGATCAACACCCAAATCATGAGGTCTGAGGCTCTGCTCCTGGCAGAGCTACAGGCAGTCTCACCTTCAGCTGAGAGTCAGCAAACAGTTCCTCCTCGTCAGGATTGAGGGCAGGCTGATTCCAGGAGGCCAAGGTGGCAGGCTTCAGGCGGCCGGCGGCTGCTCTGCTGCTACCTTGCTGCCTGTCATCCACCCTCTGCACGGCCTTCCCATGTGACAGTAAGGAAGCTGGCTGTTAGATTTATCACAGCATTCAAGTTTAAGTCCACACAAACCAAATACTATGCAACGGCTGCATTTTGGAGGTGTTTTTTTTTTTTTTTGGAAGTTAACAAGTCTGTAATTATCAGACTTCCAACACTGCTGCTTAATGAGATCACTAGCTATTTCTTATCCATTTTATCACAATAAAATTAGAGCAAGTAAAGTCCATCCATTTCAAACACAAGGGAAGTAGAACTTTTACTTGGTCATTTTTTTTCTAGTGGAGAATAGTTACTCCATCCCTGCGGCTTTGAGAACTTTAAATACTTCCTTCCAACTCAAGTGCTGTGTTTTCAAATGTGTTTTCACAGCAAAGGTGTCAGTTAAAAACGGCATAGTGGGCACAGGGGTATTAACTCCTAATTCCTATACAATGCCTGCTGGTTATAGGTTGAAATAGCCAAGCTGAGATCTTCTGGATCAACTACCCATCTGTGTGTTACTGAGAGCATCGCTAATGTCAAGTCTTCTACATGCTTTATTACAGTAAGAACATCTGTTTACCAAAGCTGAAGGCAGCACCTGCAGATGGGTTTTCTCTGCTCCTTCCTTCAATGTTGGATTGATCAAATTACCCTGTAAAAGCAGCAGTAATGCAAGGTTGTTAAAATCCAAGAACATTCATTAGCAGATTTAAAAGCTGTTTGCTACAGGGAATTATTAGAACCAGGATATGTTCTGAAGGAGAAGTAAATAAAGACTCTCTGGATTAGCTTTTGGATTTTCAGTCTACTCATTTACATAATATTAATTTGATTTCTAATAGCATGTCATTCCTGTTATTAGCTCCAGCAGCTAATAGTAGCAGGAAAAAAAAAAGTGTAATTAGAGCTCACACAATTGGACTGCCAGGAGGTCAACTTCAGGAAAGAGAAGGCTCAGACACAGATATTGTAGAAACAGAACAGCACTCAGGGATGCAAGAAAATTGTTTTGGCAAAATGGCAAGGCTTGAAAAATTGTTTGAGCCAGAGTTCAAGAGATCAACCCCAAACCCTGTAAGGAACAGAGATGAAATCCTAGCGCAGCCAGCAGAAGGATTTAGAGTTTGGAATTTCTTTATCATTACGACCAGGATCCACTCAGTGCAGGGTCGCCTTTTGTACAAAATGCTGAACTGGGTCTTGGGAGGCATCGAGAGGCCAGCCAAGGGCTCAGAAGACTAGCCTGGCCTTTCTCAAACAGCAACAAAGAGCTCCTTATTTCCTGAGACTTCTCCCCAGTGAGTCAGACTTACAGCATGACACTTTTGTTATCGTGGCTACACCCAGCAGTTTCATCAATAGAGGAACCCATGAAGACAGACGTTTCTGGCAGGCATTGCCTCTGGCTTTTTCACACACTGAACTTTTCTGCTATCTTAGAGCTTCCTGCACAGTAATAGAATCACTTTTCCCACATCAGGTTGGTGATGAGGTACCAATGCACAAAAGCAAGGCAAGGGCAGAACATGGAGTTTGTAGCTATGAAAGATCCAGCTCCCAAAGGTTTTCATACTGGGAAGAACTTAGAATTTCAGTTTTTCCTCTGCTGTCGCAGCTACTGTAAATCCATGGCTTTACAGGGGGCGTTTTGCATCCACATCCCGAAGGGCTGGACAACAGGAGGAAGCATTCATCCCTCCTCTGAGGCCACTATTAAGGTGCAGTTGTGATGGTCTACAGTGATGGACCATCATCTGCCTGATCTTCCGGGGCTGCACGTCCAGGACTTCCTATGGTAGAGATGAGCTGACAGTCCCACATGGGAACAGATCAACTTGGGTGACGTGTTTAACATGTCACGGCTAGGCTGCACAGGGGCAGCCCACCCTCTTCCTAGGTCAATACTTTGCAGGGGGAACCCTCTGGTTCTGCCCTGAGCATCGTTCTCAGAGGTAGGCAGTCCTACTCAAAGATGAGGGAGAGGGGGACTGTGAAGATGAGACACTAAGCACTACTGGCAACAGCAACAACTTAAAAGGGCTTTTAGTCTGCACCTAGAAAGAGGAAGCATTTTCACAAAACCAGTTTTGTATGTCCTTTTACTAACCTTTGTTTTACTCCACAAGGCATCTTGCTTGTTTGCTTGATCTGCATCTGGTTTTTCCTGCTGCCCATCTGACCATAGCAACCTCCTTTTGACACCCGAGCCATCCCGAGACTTATTTCTATCCTCTTTCTCCAATAACGCAATAGTCATCCTGATGAGATACAGCTCAATATTTGCAGGAACAAGTTTTCTAATTGCTTGTATGTTAGTGGTGTCTTGGAAAAAATATAAATACAATATTAGGTTTTTTAATCCTCTTGCCCCTTATTCAGTTTTTTTTTAAAACACATCACTTGATCTATCCTATGCTTTAATGAGGGACAAGGCATGGAAAAGACAACGTATGGGTTTGACTCGTAAGAAAACAGATCATGAGCTCATGCGATAAATCCCCACCTCATTTGTACTCACAAACTTTACATCCTTAAATTTAGTCTAAAGCATCAGGATCACCTGCCTCTAACTTGCATGTCCATCAACTATTTTTTCTTGGCCAGAAGGCTATATTAGGTCAGGCTGAAAAGTCTCTGCTTTCATAAATGTAGTGCCATACCAGTTCTCCATTCTAGTGTGGCACTGAGTATAAGAAAGTGATCTGAGAGTCTGCTTGAGCCAGTAACTGCTGCTGAAATGACACGTTAATCCACAACAGGAGAAGAAAAATGAAGCTAGAAAGTCAGCAAACTCTGACAACCTAAGAAATTAAACTAACAGGGCAAGACTGAACTTTAGGTCACACAGTCTCAGAATCACAAGTCAGTGTATTGTTGTCTTCAGCTTCTGTATATTGTTGTCTTCAGCTTCTGAACTACCCCATGACACCAGATGACTGCGTTAAGAGGAAGTGCTTTTCCTGCACTTCTCTGCCTCCTCATCAGAGGATAAGTTGCACAGGGGAAATTCTACAGCTCTTACTCAGCATATTGTCTGTAGATACCAGTACTTACAGGAAGACTTTGTCAGGCTGATGTTTTTTTCAAAAAGCACTTGAGTAAATACAGATTTAAGAATGACGTCTGAATCTTTTCAACAGCCATACAATTCTGTGAAAGGATTTGTAACGGCTATGCTCTTTTGCTCTATAATGAATCACAATTGCCTTATTTTACAACATAACCTTGAAAGGAAAACAACAGCCATGAGCCTTCCAGAAATGATGGGTTCTACCTAAAGAAGCAGCTGAGCTGTAAGCTTTTCATTCCCTTAACTGCATGCCACTGTCATGAGAAGCTTCAGATAAGGGCAGCGATGCTCACCCGAGTCAGTGGGAAGATTACGTATAACATCAGAAATGATCTGTTGAACTTCAGGAGTCAAACCTGCTCGCTCCAGGTTGACAGGGTATCCAGCTTTCATGGCCTGGTACAGGTGAGCACCAACCTCAGGAAGAGGCAGAGATCTGGTCTCACTTATAGTCCTCTGGGGAAACAAAAGCCGAAGGAATTAAGATGGCAGAAGTGTCTGAAATACAAGTGCAATATCAAAACTTGTCACCTCCCATTCCCAAAAAGCAATTGGGGGATATTGGCACATAGCAGTGCCAAGCAGCTCCCTAGAACGCTTTGTTACTCTACAAGCTGGAAAGTGAGGTAACTTTTAAAAGAGCCCTTGTCTCTTGAGGCTACTACTATTCAGCTCAAGTGCAACACCTCACCTTGAACTTACTTCAGAAGAGAGGTTCTGCACAGGTCACCTTGAAGCCCCACCACAGCCTCCTTATAAATTCACATCCCTTGTGTCACAACACTACCACCCCCTTTCTACCACATAGCAGCTGAATCCCAGTAATTCCTACCACAAAAGCAAACTGAGGCAAGAGCATCAGTAAATCAGAGTAGCAACTCAGCTCTGACTTTGTGAGATTTCTGTGTCATAGCTTCAGATGTCTCCTGCTAAGTAGCTGTGATGCTTCTGAACTTCCAGTGGCCCATTTAATCCAGAACACCTATGCAGAACATGAATAACAGCACCAAAACAAATTCCCTCTCATTTCCACATCTGTTAGATGAAGTCTTTTCAAAACATTTGCCTTGAAGAAAAACATGTCAGACCATCTACCCGAACCTGTACTTTTCAGGGAGAGATTTCAAACTGGTTACTTGTATTCCTGGAAAGTACAGGTTTCAAGCTTCTACCTATTTCTCCCCAGACAATACATATCCTGTGCTTATAATCAGCAGGATTAGTGGATACACAGTATCAAGTTACCCCTTAATAATTACACAACTGTTTGTTTTTAATTAGTCCTCGGGGACACTTTTAAGTTACAGACTATCTGACAAGGTTTATCCATACTCTTGGGAGGAGCAAAGTAAAACTCAGAGCAATTCCCATTTCTTTCTGCAGAAAACACAACACTATCAAAGCAACTCAGGAGGCTCATCTTCACAAGGCACACAGCGTGATGCCAGTTTAGCCATGCACCCTGTGACACTTCAACTTAAATGTGATAGGCCACTTATTGTCAACTTCTGTCTGTAACAGGAAACCCAGCTTTCCAAAATCCAAACTAGAAAGCCACAATCTTTGAATCTTCCCATGAGCTTTGTTTCTCGACATACAAGTCTTACACATGGAAATGGCACAGGGAAAGGAATAGGGATTTGCTACCTAAACCAAGAACAATGTTAGTGAAATTTATCCCAACAGATACTAGCCTTAAAGGTATGCATATGTACAGCCCCATGCTTGGCATCCTTTACAACAGGTTACCGGATCAGGAAGTTTTTCCTATATGCCCTTACTACCATGAAAAAAGAGAAACATATAGAAACAGCCAGAACTAACACCAGCAATAGAAAAGCACACTGCATAATGGTACTGAAACAGGCCAATGAAGTAACAGCAACAGTTCTGCCTGATGCCCTGCCAATCTGTGCAAGCACTGTAACGAGTAGGGAACTCTATCTTATCCCACTGTACCCCACACCTCACAGTGAGCCCAATTTTTCATACTTACCAGTCTGTAAAAGTTAAATGAGCTACGATGTGCCAGGAAAGATACTGCCTCAGTGTTTTAAAACAACCCCTCCCCAGCACTGGGCAGAGGATTTAAGAGAACTTGCAGATCCCCATCCTCTAGACAAAGCATCCCCGCTGTTAGTTTTCAAAAAGGAAGGGATCTCCATAGAAAAGGGCTTACCACAGAGAGATTTTTCTCTTGGAAGAGGACATAGGTGACATGCTCTGAAGGAGAGAGGGTTCTAGTAAACTTGTACGGAGAGGCTTCTTTCAGATCTTTAGATCCAGATGTGGGGAATATGTCAGTCTAAGTGAAATAAAGAAGATTTAGAAGAATTATATCCCAGTGACAACCAATGGATCCCATTATCTGAAGTTATCTGAAAGAGGAACATAAATGAAGTAATTCAACCTCTGTGAAGGTTGTTTTTGACCCCAAGTCTGTGTTCCACAAAAAAATCCAAAGGGGGAATCCAGATGGACACCCACATACTCCCATCTTAATAAAAGAATGGATCATGAAAGGGAGTTACAAAAAAAACAAACCAGAAAAAGCGTTCAGGTTAACACAACTTCTTTAGGTGTTGCTCACTACATGTACAGCTATTCCATCAGAACAAACTGTGTTATTCAGTCTGCTGCTTAGTACAGGAATCTCCTCCATTTCTTTTAATCTTTTGCTCACAGGTGTCTTCAAAAAAAATCAAACAAAAACAAACCAGTAATGCTTTTGGTTCCCATTCCTAGATCGTAACATATTTCTGTGAAGCAGAAAAAGTCTCCAGAGTCTTCTCAAGCATTACAGAGAAGTAGTATTGCTGCTCTACCTGCTTTCTAGACTAGATAAATCCCTTGAACTGTAGATTTACATAGAAATTAAGATCCTGAAAGCAAAACTGCTCCACAGTTCCTCTAATCCTCTGCTCCACGGCCCCTCCCTGGTGGTGTGTCTCACCACAGTGACTGGTGAGGAACCACTCTACAGAGAGTCTCAGATATAAGAAAATCAACTGTGACAAAAGAATCAATAGGAGTATTCCCAACAGCTGGAAACCTAAGCTCGTCAGTCTAAGAAGAAGCTTAGAGGAAGCAAAGCCCTGCCCTCCATGTCTACTGAGTCAATAAACCCCAGTGAAAGAACACTTACTATACCTTTGGCCTCCAGCCCCAAATCACAATAACTAGCTGCAAGCTCTTGATAATATGGCACTTGTTGGACACTCAGCCTGGCCAGATGAGTGACCTTTATAGGGATGTCCTGGACTTTCAAGACCACACCAATCTGGAACATCAGGCAGGTCCCAATGCCACTGGCAAATAGCACATTCAGATTTGTGAGGCCTATTTAGTCGCAAGGCTAGCAAGTTCCACTGCCACGCTTGGATGGAACAGCTGTGACTGGGACAAACTCTGAAGGAGAAATCTGACAGCTACAGACCAAACTGTCTTTAAGGCTCTTGCAAAGTAGCAGACCCTTTAGTACGTCATACCTGCAAACCATTCGCTTGGCAGAAGTCCTTAATTTCATCCAGGAGAGGGATCAACATGGTGGATTTTGCTTCAGATACACCATCAATTCTCTTCACATTCTCAACATTCGTAGGCCTGGTTTAGGATGAATAATAAAAACCATGGAAGTGTCCTATACCGATGCTTTGAAACATCAAGTGTCTGATTAACAGATGCTTAGACTACAGATCTATTAATCAAAACTTGAAAATGGTATTACTATACCCTCATAATTTCTGCAACTAATTAACTTCACGGTTTGCGCTTCTGAATCATGAAGCTTGACCACAGCAAAAGCTGAAAGTTTGCTGCTTAATACTTTAGGGGATCTGTTTGCCACATACATCTTGACTTGCTTTTACCTCTCAAGACCATATATACCCAGAGTTCTGACAGGGAATGACAACATACACATTCCAAAACCAGTACCGTCTAACGCCTTTTAGTAGCTGGGGAAGGCACTTCAGATGCATTACCAACTGAGCTGCCCCACAATATCCTCATATATAGTGAGGAAAAAAAGAGGGGAATTTTTTCCCCATCCTTTCAGCAGTTGAGAGCAACACTAAATTGTGCTTATTCTTTTACACTACAGAGCTACCCATGCGAGGTAAGGGACAGCTCCTGACCTGTAGCTGACCCTTAGCAGGATAAGGGCATACTAAAATGATGAAAACACAGAAGTAGATGGAAAGGTAAGGAGATTAGTAGAAAACACACATCTTCCCCTTCTTACTGGTCAACACGACAGGGGATTTGGATACAAAGACAGACCAAGTTGTCATTTGGGTTTTTGTAAATAGCTAGAATGAAGAAGCAAGTCTGATGTCAATAACTGTTTAACTTACAACAGTCAGTGGTCTACAAGCTTATTAGAGCTAACAGATCCTCAGGAAAAGAGCTGCTCCTCTACCAATGAGGCATATACTCCCAACAAAAACAGAAAGGGGATTTGTGACTTGGCTTGCAACCTCCTCTGTTTGTACAACATAAATGCATGCTGGCTTTACCTTGTTTGGGCCATCTCCACCAGGATCTTATTGGTTGCCAAGACAGCTGGAGGAATTACCTTCTCATTAGCTGCCTTCTGTCTAGCAGTCAGCAACTTGCCATACAGAGCAGCCTGTGAAGAACGCCAAATTCTTATGAAGCAGCTCCAGATCACTCACGTCGGTGTAATTAATATGAAAGGAAGAGTTATAACTTCCCTCATCTTTCCACTAATGTACAAGAAACCTGCAATCCATTAATCCATTTTAACATGTTTAAATCCTCTTACAGGACTTCTATTCAAAATACCTTTGTAATATGAAGACCTGCCCAAGCCAGCTGCTCCAATACAGGACAACTGTGGTTTGCAGGTTAATCGCAATTCAGATATCCTCCCTCTTCCAAAAACTTACCTCTAGGTCTTTTTCTCGGGATGAAACAACATGTTCTGGGGGCTTCAAAGGAGAAGATTTCACTGGCGACTGCTCTATAAAACTAACATAAAATACAAAAGTGTGAAACAAGCCCTGCATTAGGTCAATTTACTCAGGAACTTTGCACAGTGCTGTGGGAGAGCAGCAGCCCAACTTATTTTGCCTGCTCTGACACCACCATCAGACTGTGGTCTGGCACCTTGTGCTAGCACTGCACTTCTACAGGACTTGAGCTAGCTGAGGCAGAATCAGCAGTATCCCTAATATAACAGAACTCCTCTGTGTCTGGTCCTCCAACTTAAAAATAGCCTCTTACTATACAAAGCTCAAGCAGATCAAATTGCAGTATTGTGGAAAAAAACCCCAACCAATATTCCTATCAGCAGCTGGATTCCCATATTGTTAACGAAAGCATGTTCTTATAAGCACTTGTCCATTCATGACAGGATTCTGACAGCATCCCATGAGGAACACCTTACATTTTTTCCCACAGCTGATAACATTAATCCTGGCCAAAAAAAAAGCTAAAAGCATTAGTGACAAGGACACAGCTGCTGTGCTGTAAGCAGAATTAGCTGATGTTACCACTAGGCATGTCTGCCTAGAGAGCAGCACCACAGCTACCAGTCCATCGGCTCATGTACTTCAGGACATTTACCCCTAATTAGATTGCTATGATTATATTGCAATGTCTGTTAACAAACAAGCTGGAATAAAAGCATCCCTTCCTAAGCAAACAGTGAAATAACACTGGGTTTGGATTGTAGCTGTCCCTAAAATTAATTTTCTTCACATGGCAACAGTGGCAATTATTCAGCTTAAGTGACATATTCTATTTTCCTCTTGTCTGCCAGCATCAGGCTGCTTGCCTGAAGGAGGGATCGAACTTCTCACAAATGCAAGGTGGGTTTAATCTGAAGCACCACACAAGCCAGGAAAACAAATTACTTGCTCTGCTTTTTGCAAAAGCATGTTTTATTTCTTTTGACCTGAGAGAGACTCAACTTGATCTCAGTCTTCTCCATACTAATGTAGAAAAGACAGAAACCTCCATGCTCACCTAAGGTCCCCGCACAAGGCATAAATTCACTTCTTCCAGCTTTAAGAGCCAGTCTCAACTTTGCCCCTTATCTGCCTGGCTTGTATTTGTAAACTGTTCAAAACCAGCTATTCTCCATGGCTTTTTAAACCACCACAAGCTAAAATCCATTACTGTTTCAACCATTACAGAGGAGACAGACTGAAAAAAAAAAAACAACCATGGGCCCAATAAAAATATCCAATGTAAATCTGCTATTGCTCCATTTTTATCAACATTTGCTATCTTTCTTACATGGATCTGAAGTAATAGCAGTGAGAAAGTCTGTACTTCAATTAATAAAGCTTGCTTTGCCTGTGACACTACAACTATACACAACTTGTCAAATTCAGCAAAGCCTGTTCAGTGTTGTAATAGTTTAATATTTTGAAATATAATGCAGTGTACACCAAGTTAAGCACTTTTTCTTTTTTTAATATATTAAGCATTTTTACCATCACTTCACATAGGAGAATGCTGGTTTTCAGTATCATCCTACAAACAATACCCCTATTAATGCAGTCAAAATTATGTAAATCTGTTTTAATATAGAATACTGTACCTGTTAAACATGTTATTGCTTCTTGGAGGAGTTTTACTTTTTCTCTCATTTGAAAACATATCATGCAGAGACATCTATAAACAACAGAAGAACAAGACAAACAAATGCTGATTTACCAGTCTTTCCACCGAAGTTACTGTTAACAGCAAAATATTCATTTGTGACACCATGATACACTTGCAGGGTTTTTTTTAATACCAACAAGGATGGAGCACAGAGTGTGAGAGGAGCTGTACTCATACAGACCTGCTTGACTAGTGACGGCATTGCTCCTTTCGCGTCTGGGGAGCGCTGTGTTGAGAACACAGGTAAAGGTCTGCTGCTGTAATAAAATGAATTATATCTTAATCAAATGAGACCAAGTCATTCATACAGTGACACTGTCATCTAAAAAAATTAACATTTAGCTAAGCAAGCTGATTTGAACTTGGTACAGGCATATCTTTGGCAAACGAGAAGTTCTTACTGATTTTTTTTTTTTTTTTTTTAAAATTACTAGAATCCCCAGTATGAATAAACACTGAGGACCTCAAAGCCTGCTCAAACTAAAACTTTAACAAGGAACAAGAATATTGTCTTACAAAGTAAAAAAGGTTTTGGTGACAAAAATGGAATTTTTGTGACAACACTTGAAACATTCAATTTTAAAGATCCCATTACTGGAGAAAATAAACGAGTACCAACTTTCTGGTTTGCGCTAAGCATACTGTTTCTGCTGTTGCTTACTGTTCAGTAATAAACAACTTTTTTTCTACTAGAAGACCTGTAGACAATAGCTGAAAGGGCCACAACAGTAGAATATTACAAGACAAAAGAAAATTGGTACTTTGTCATTATCTGATTTACTTATTTTTTAGCAACACTAAGACAATCCAGACACCAGAACAGGTTCCTAAGGCCAGCACTGAAGTTTTGTTCTATAATATTATTTCTTGTCACAGCAAAGCCTCTGCAACCTCCAGTTCATTATCTTTCACTTCAAAAGGGTTGGTCAGAATTAGTGTTTGTGAAGACCAACACAACACTGTTTATTAAATATAACCAGAAGCAAAATATTACAATTCACATATTTTCCTGGACCTATATACTCTGACAGCAAACACCTGACCACCACTGAAAAAACACCCCATTTTTGCAGACATACTTTCCAAGACTTTAAGTAGTTCAAATTTCACAAAAAGAAATAAGAGACAGAAACTATTACACATTTGTATTGAATCGATTCTTGTTATAATTAAGGCTTTTCTATTTCATTCTCAGCTTAAATTTTATGAAGAAGGCCAAGTGCATAATTGGGAAAACAAGTTGTTAGCTGTTCTATTTAAAGTCTCACAGTTTAACTCATAAGAAAGAACATAAATCTTGATGGATTTTCCTCTACCATTTCTTGTCTTTAGCTGATTACTTTCTCCATGTGGATGTGTTACCACAACATGCTTCCAGGCTACCCAGAATCACTGGTGAAAATACACACTTTCTGACTAGTTTTGGTACTTTCTCCAACCTACATTTCCCCACTAACCTTCCCAGTTACATGGCCATCCAATTAGCTCCACTAAAGACCTCAGTGATGAGGCACCACCAGATTCCAGCTGCAAGCCCTGTACTCTCAGGAGGACGAGACAACATGACACTTTTCAGACCAGCACTCAACTGAGGTGTCTATCCAGCCATGCCCCCTGACTTCCTGTTGTATTACAATACCGTCCAAGGAAAAGCTCTGGCTAGAAAAAACAAGTGCAGAAGTCTCCTGTCCAACCTAGTCTCCTCCAGAAGCAGGCTTCAGAAACTGATCTGCTGTTAAATTCCTAAAAAGTGCTCAAGAACGCATGCATTTTAATCACCTTCTAGGAGGTCTCTGCAGATTAAGGTCTTCGCTGGACTGTAACAGAAGACTTGGACTTGAAGCAGATCCAGCTTTTAATAGCCAGTTTCTACCCTGTAAGAAATAAATCGTATGGCTTAGCTATAGATTACTCCGAGCAGCTCTCAATGGGTAGTTTCACACCAAAAAGTACCTTCTGGGTAAGCACACATGTGGTTACAAACTTGCTATGCCCAATGTCTTCTTTGAGGAATCCTTCCATTATCAACTGCTGGCAGAGCAATTTCCACCAGTTCTCTGGCCAGTCTTTTCCACTACCAAATAGAGGGTGTCTTCGGTATCTGTTTGGCAAGCGTTGAGAACTCTGAAAATATTGAAAGAATTGGTGAGGCTTCTCCAGTCCTTGTGGAAGAAAGTTTCCAATCCAACCAGTAAACCTAGAACTTGAGATGCAAGGAGCATGTCCTCAAGAACATGCCTGTGAAGTTCTTCTGCAGAGAGAAGTCACCAGCTGAGGTGTTTTATTCAAGCTTACATAATACCCATTACAATAACCACACCTACCGCACTTCAGTGATAAGAGCATAACCCATGCCTATTGCCTTGTTCATGTCACCTGAAGAACAGTTTCACCTCTACTAACCTAATCCACCCTCGTGCTTTCTGCCAAGGCTGTGACAAGATCATGACTTTCTTTTTTAGTAGGACCCCAGACAAACCTACACTTAGATCACAGAACCGTTAAAACATCTCCCTTCATATATGGAAGAATTTGCAGAAGCAACCCAGTCATCTACAGCAGTGAAGAAAGTCACCTAGGGCAGTTTGTATTCAACCAGTTCAGGTCCATCTTACATTACATAAGTTCAAAAACAGAAGCAGTTAGCCCTTCTGTTTTTAATTAAAAAAAAAAACCAAAACCCTACAGAAGCAAAAATAAATTGACGAGTCCTGTTTAAATCCCAGGACATGGGTACAAAGTTAGAAGTAAGCTTGCTGAAAACGTCTGCTCTATCCATCCTCCTCTGGCCTTCAGTGATATTTGTTTTTTATTTTCTTTTAAAAAGTTGCTGCTTACTCATCTCTTACCAATGGTTCAGACTAAAAAAGCTGATTTGCTCCTGTCTGATGGGTTCTCCTCTGCCCTGAACTCAGGGCCCAAATAGATGGCATGGGGCGAGAGACCCTTTCACAAAAAAAGAAACTCTTGGTACAAGCCTGAAAAGTTGAGAACTTCTCTGAAATGGGGAACTAGCAGGTGATCAAGCATTAGTAGGTAAAAGCATCTCAGACAGAAGGAAGTTTCTACTTATCGCTAGAATATGAAATCAACAGGAAGGCAGGCTTCAGACCCTGTTATTTGTAGACTTGCTGAATCCCTTTCCATTGGGGAAACTACATGGTCAGATGGATAATTTTTTAATTATATATACATGTGGATGCATATACACCAGTTATATCCTCCAGGGAATGCTTGTGCGGGCTCACCTTTTGCCATTAATAGGGCTGGTTGTTACCACAGATTTCCAAGTTCCTGTTAGTACTTCTACCAGAATCCCTTCGTGCTAGGCATATGCCAATACAGAGTGTCTATCCCCAAGAAAGCAGTTTTCCTTATAAAGGAAAATATAACAGGCTGACGCAGAAAAGAGGAAGCCAAGTGAAAGAAATCCAGGACAGACAGCGGTCAGCACGCAGTGGTCTGCTGAGCTCCGTATTGTCTCCAGGGATGACAGTAAGGAGCAATTTGGAGAATTTCAGACAGCCAGGGAGCTGTTATCCTGCACGCACAGGGAGAGGACCAGCAGGGAGAAGGGCTTGTTTCATCCCTGTAGCAGCAGGGGATGGAAGCCGGAGCAGCCAGCCACAGGCAAGAGGGGACTCAGCTTGGTGCTGGATGGCACCAGGGCACAGAGTCCCCATGGTGAACACGAGTCACCCACTCAGCAGGCAAAGAGGAAAGTGCCAGGTCCCATGTCCTCTCTTCTAAAGAGCCCTCATACAACTTTTAACACACATTACTTTAAAGCACAACTACATTCCTAAGGCTTCAGTTATGTGGGTTACATTAATTACCCTAATGGCTGCACATTTTCAGAGCGTGGTTTTGACTTCGAGAACAAATTCAATGATGGAAATAACTATAAAAGGAGTAAGATGCAAACCAGTAAACTTTGTGTCCATGTTTGGGCTAAGCATTGTTAATTAAGCTTGGCATAGGTCTGACCAACAGAAGCCAAAATAGCAATTTGAATTTCATAAAAGTTATTAAAGGCTAAAAGTACTACTAAAAGCCACTCAACCAGTCACTGAGGCTACTAATAACAACAATTGCTGAAATAGCTACAAATTCCCCTGTTTGCTGCTAAAAGGAGACTTTAAGAGTTGCATATTCTTCTTGTTTAGCAGGGTTAGTATAATATTTCTGCCAACACAGCTCTAATTCAATTTTCCCAGAGGACCTTATTCGCTTTCATGGCCCGACTCAGCTTTCACATATTAAGTGAAAGATGGTCTCCCTTGTGGTCCACCCAAAGCCTGTTGGAGGCCACCTGGACTTTGCAAGAAGATACAACTAACTTAAAAAGAGCATGACTTCTCCATTAACTATATACAAGCTTTTGAAGCAACGCACCAGCCAGCCTCAGACAGATACAGCATGTAAACTTATGGTGATATTGATTATTTCATGCATTTGTCCTAGAGTTTACCTTCATGCAAGTAAAGAAACGTGTTTTTTTGTTTTTGTTTTTTTTTTTTTAAAGTTATGTTAGCCCAGAAAAGGTTATTCTTGTAAGGCAGCAAAAGGTTATTTTGAATTTGCAGTACAAATCTGGCATCATCTTCACTTCTTCCAGTAAAGTCTAATAAATTTAAAAAAGTCAAGGCTACATTAAAATCTGTAACAATGTTTTTTACCATAGACACACTTGTGTGACAATTAACAACTTAACTTCCTTATTAAAAGGAAATAGAAGAGGGAGATCATTCACCCAGTTCTATCAATTCCTACAGGTGATTTTCTACCCTGTCCAGGTTGTAAACAAATAGTGATTATGTTCTTACTGTTGTATTTTATTTTTGGTCAGTTTCTTGCTTAATATTTTAAAAACATTGTAAGTAAAGGTATACAGAAGTCATTTACATTCATTTTAGTAACCAACTCTCCATCTCACTACTCCAAGTCAGCCAGCAGCGCAAAGCTAGAACACAAGTCGTTATTTGCTTTATTCAAACATTAACCAACTGTTTACCAAGCAAAGATGTGTTTATACTTCATTCCGAAAAGGCTATTCCTTTCAGGATAATGGAAATCATACAACTCCATTTAAAAAACACTTAACTGTCTCTCTGAAAGCATCAAACTCACATAAAAAAACCCCAAAAGCTCAAGGCTTACAAGAAGGGCTTTAAAACCTCTGCCAATATTTGGGCCAGTGCTCATGTGTTTAACAGACAATTGTCAATAATAACCCACAAAACACAGGACAGCTCCAAATGTTGCAAGCAACAGGTACTATTTCTAAGCTGAACTCTTGGGCCACAGATGGCTGAATGTTGCACTGGGAGGAAAAACAGAACAAAGATGGCAAGAGCTTGGAGGCAGAAACTGTTTCTTTGCTGTATGTGCAGGTAATTAAGTACAACGTGCTTAGGAAGTCCCCTATTGTTATGGCTGTTGCCTTTAAAGACAATCTACTTTGTTGCATAGGAAGTACTGTTGAGTAGCTTCAGAAAGTCTAGACCTCTCTCGACAGATATCCACCCCTCTAGAGAAAAAGGAACTAAATATATACATAAATATATATGTGTGTGTGTACACACATTTATATCAATGTTTTGATTGGCATATCAATGTTTTGACTGGCATATCAATAAAGAGGAAAACTATAACAGTCCCTCCACTCTTACAACACATACCAGGATTTTTACTATCACTTACAGACCCTCGGAGAAACAGAATGGGAACTGTAGTTCCAAACTTCTCTTCCAGGGCACCCACTGCAGACAGCAGCTGATATGCTTGCTTCCCAAAGTCCTGTAAACCACCTTCTGAGTCACTGGGGACTGCAAAATAAGTGGCTCTGAAACGCACAAAGGAAAACAAGTTTAACACACATACAAATCAAGTCCCCTCCCCTTCGCTCAAATATTGTCTATCAAGTAGTAACTAAGTAAAGTACAGACTTCAAGTTACATTAACAATTAAACCTGTTTAAGTGTAAAGAACTAGGACTGAAAACAGGAGACCAAGCAAAAGTCAAAACCACTTGTGATTAAGACAGCTGCCCAACCCAACAGTAAGCAGTTCTTCATGGTACTTGCTGTGACAGGACAATGCCGTCTCAGCAATCTTCTGAATTTAGTATTTGAGTATTTGGACTGTTTTAGGCATAAGACATTTCTTTAATTGCACCTAATAGCAAAGAAGTTTTTATCTTAAAAAAAAAAAAAAAAAAAGGGGGGGTGTGTGGAAATAACAGAAGGAAAGAGCAACTCCATGAAAGATTTTCTACAGTTTCTTAATGCATTTATTACCGACTGGAAGAACTCATCAAAAGATTATTGGCACAAATCACTTCCTAAAGAGGAGAAGGACAATGATCATTTCAGTTCTACAATACAAGTTCACTATGTGGCTCTTTACTAGCACAGCAACATGACTGAAGATTGAAATTGTGATTTCTCAAAAATCTCTTTTTGGGTAGTTACAGTAGAGGCCAGGCAAAGGTTTCCTAATCCTGGAGCATATAGGAGATTTGGCTTAATTGATAACATTTTTCCAGAAAGCAACACAGCATAACATCTTGTCTTTGATCAGGAAGCATCGGGCTACCAGGAAGAACAAGGAATCCTTTATTATAACTTCAGGGAAGGTGTGTATGGGCACACAGGAGAAACCCAGGAAGGTGTTTCTGCTCGTACCTGTGTGACCACCGACCCCCTGCCTTCCCTTCAGTGCATCTATGAGGTTATTAGCAATGCTAGAAACAACATATGCCAGCGCACACTGTAACGGGAAAATAGCTCCCTCAACACTCAGGCAATTTAACCTTAGACACATGGTATCACACTCTACTTGCAAGTGTTTTCTTTGTGGATTAATTACCTAACAGGACAAACTTATGAACAAAAGTGTATTTCACAGTGTTGCTCTAAAGCCTTTTAGGAACTGTGACCATACTTTGTTTACAGGCTTTCCCACAGTCTAAATTCAAGATTATAAACTGCCTCATGGCTTGCTCAACTACATAGGAGAAGGTTAAAGACAGTTATTCAAAGACAAACTTCAGGCTGAACATCCACACAATCAGATGCATAAAGAATCAATTCTTTTAGAGAATTTGCCTTGTAAGTCAGCCTGAGAGAATGTCACCTCTTGTATCAGTCTTCAGGGAATAAAGCTTACCCAGATCTGCAATTATCACAGCATTCTTCTGTGCCCATGATGCCAGAGGAAACCTTACGGAGTTGTTTGTCTTCAAAATGAGACAGGATGATTCTACCCAAGGGAATATATGGAATTAAATAAAATACCAAGAATTTACACATTAAATTTATTGCAGAAAACAGAGTTGAAATCAACATCATTAATTAATTCACTGGGGAGCCAATTATTTGGCCTTGATTCCTCTAAAGAAAAAGTTGGGTTTTTTTTTGAAAAGTAAATAAGGAAATGCTTGATGTGTATGTATGTGTATGATATGCTGAAGGCTGTATTTTTTTATACTGCTTTTTAATATAAAACATGTTTGCAGAACACATGAGTATAAGATGCCTTCCGGTTACAATCTCCAGTTGTGACCAAGTCACAATGATTCTGACAAAAGCTGACTGAAATGACAAAGCATTAAACAGATTCCAGTACTCACTTCCTCCTGCAGCTCTTTGACACAAGGTACTTCTCTATTTTTGCCAACATCTTCAGTTTGTACAACCGGAACTTCTCATTGCGTATCTCACTTAAAAGATGTCTGTCAGTCAAAAGGAAAAACAAAGAGTCTTAAATGCTGAACACTATTCCCCTGTCCCACACCAAAAATTAAATACACCAGACAACTGTCTGTCTCAAATTCACCAGAAACAGCTAGAACAAAAATGTCCTACTAAAACCAGAGCCAAACTGCCTGCCTGTTTCTCCACAATCTTGATCTTTACACTCAGAAGACCACCTTATTCATATTCCTCTAAATATGACTATTATTCTAAACAGGGCAGGAGAGACAGGGAGCTTCTTCCAACCCCACAGGCTACTACTTTTCAGAAATCCACGCCAAAAGGCACAGAGGAGGGAGGAAAGGGCAGAGGGCACGGGAGAGAGGGCAACTTCCCTCACTCTATTTTTCCAAACTCTGGCAGGTTTTAATTAATGCCACTGCCAGATTACAAAAAAAAGATTACAAAAGTACTTGATGGGTGTATGGAACACTTGCTCTGCCCATGCTCTGAGCTGCTGCACGAGCCAAGCCTGAGCTCCCATCTGCACCACCCTCACCGTGCCACATGGCATGGAAGACAAGCCAATACTGCAGGTGTTGGGCACCACATTAACGCAGCTAAAGTTAAGCTAAGCCAGCTTCTGCCTGCCTGAAAAAGGAGGGAATTATGTCGTTTCACAGACTCTGGCAGTCTGCTGACACAACTTCAAATGACTGAGTCCAGACATTTCTGTGGTTTTCATTTTCATACCAGCTACAGACAAAGTTAACAGGAGACCTCTATAATAACCAGGACTCCCCCACCCAGAAGGAAAAAATAAACGTATTTCTCCATTTAGACATCTAGATAGGGGAGGAAAAAAAAAGTAATTCTATAGCATCAGCACTCTTAAGGGGTGGATGATAGGTTTAAAACCAGGTCAGATGGGTCAAAAAACAGGTCAGGTGATTTACAAGACAAGTGACCAGGCTTTACCACTGACTGCCTTGCAAATCATCTTCAGGAAACAGAACTGGAACAAGGACAAACTCAGTAACATTAGTGCACTTGTGGTTTATCTTCTAGAATAAGTGTAGTGTACTTAGTACTGTGTGTATGCAGGAAAGGACTTGGAAACGTTCTGAAAAATAGATCACACTGTCAACCAAACCCACCTTGCTCCTCTTTCTATTGGTAGGTTTTGGCTATCCATACGAAAGCAGTTGCCTTCAGTCATTTACCTATTAAAAGTCAAGTCTGTCGCCGTCCACAAAACGTGACAAGAAGCACGAAGCCCATCGCGACCAGCTCTTCCAATTTCTTGATAATAGGATTCCATTTCCTTAGGGGCACCGTAATGAATAATCATCCGGACATCTGCCTTATTGATGCCCATTCCGAATGCCACTGTAGCCACAACACACTACAAAACAGCCACATGCTGAATGTTTTGAAATAAGCATCAAGAATAAGCCTGGATTAATGCTCACACATTCCGTGACAATCTTTTGCTACGGACTCCAAATTCAGCCTAAGTTACAATGGCTTCAAACTCATACTCAACTTCCACAGAACTGTTGTTAAAACTGATTTTGGTCAGATCATGAGCATAGGATTATAAACATGACAGTGATGACGTGTGGTGTCAAATGCTGGAGTATTTTCAAGCGATTATTCTCAAAATGCACAAAACCGATCACGAAGAGGAATACGAGGAGTCCCAGGACAACTCTCTGCCTGCCTAGCTTCAGGAAGAAGAAAGCAGCTCACAGAACCTGAGATGATATTGTTCCAGCTACCTCTATTTTCCTCAGATGCTATGCATTTTTAAGAGACTTACTAAAGGAATTTGAAACAAGCCAGGAATCCCATTACTGTCAGCAGAGACCAGCTATTTCTTTGCCCAGAACTGGAGACAGAGTAAATGGGAAACACATGCTGATATTTCCAAATTCCTTCGTCTACCAGAAACTCTGCAATTATAAATAGGACAGAGTAGACTTAGTTTCCTACATACCTGAATTTCATCCCTCATGAACTGGTGATGGGTCTCTCTCCTTTGTTCGATTTTCATACCAGCATGATATGCACTACAGGTCACACCGAGTTTCATCAATTCGGACACAACCTGTTCGGTCGCCTTTCTCGAAGGGCAGTAGATGATAGTGGGGCCTTCAAACTCATAGGCAGAACTGCTATAAATATTAGCAACATGTGAAGATACAGAATATAAGAAGCCACACTTCTCCAAAAAGTCCAACTGAACCTAGCTGAGAAGACAATGTGGCTTTTCCAGTTCACCTTCTTGGGGCTTTAGAAATTGAAACACATTTTAACCAGTCCACTCGTACACAGATTGTCTGTCCTTTGGAAAAATGGACTTGGAAGCTACTCGGTGCTCTTAGGTTTATTTTGCAAAACACAGATTTTGGTCTCTGTAGAAGCAGCAGGATAAGGCCTCCCAATTTCCTTAAAGTCATCAGGAAGTATGCTTTTACAGCTGTCACTGTCGAAAGGTCTACAATTACGTAACAAGGTGCAAATGAGCGATAAATTAATTTACATTGCTGCAGAGCCACACATTGTAGCTTTCAACAAGGAGAACAGGGCCAGAATGGGTTTACCACTGGGTCTGCTAACAGGAAAGGACTGCAATTCTTCTGCTCAGATTACAGTTATTTTCTTCAATAAAGGTATCACAGATTTATAACACTCACACACATTTTGTACAATACCGTCTGGAGAGTTACCCACCAGCCAATCCATTGCCATTGTTCAAATAGCCATGTCAGCAAATCCTCTGAGGATCACAGGATCCTGAGGATCCTTACATCAGCAACATGCAAACAGTGAGAGTCCACTGCTCCTTGCCTCAAAAGCCTTTTTTTAAATTGGGAGAAGGGGGTGGGCACAACGACATGACACAACAGGCGACTAGCACGGTATCAGAGCCAAGCTATGGAGAAAGCCCAGGCTCCTTCTCACCAAGTCAGTTTAAGACTGCTACCAATTCTTAGTACAAACTACCAAAACTCCAAAATACCAAAGTATATCTGAGCAATCAGCGAAAACAGGCTTAAACCCTTACCTTCCTTTCCTAGTAAGGAACTGCTTCAAATCCCTGAGAATATCTCCACTCTGTCGTCCAACTTCTAAGAACAGGTTAGGTCTGTCAAAGCTAGTACACATGACCTGGGGATTCTTCAGGTTCAGACAATTCACTATGTCTTCTCTAATCGATGGACTTGCAGTTGCAGTTAAAGCAACAATGGGAACCTGCAATGAAAAGTGTAAGAAAAGGTCTGAGTGCTCTCACTGATGTTTTTTAAACCAAAAAATATCATGAGACAAAACTGAAACAGCATGTGAACAGGCACTTTAATCTGTATATGATCACTGGATCAGCTCACCCATTTGAAAAATATCGTTAATATTTAGCTTCCTAAAGCTTTGGTCTACACTGTTCAGGAGAGCAGACAGGGACAGAACACTGTTGAAAAACAAGGTTTTATTCTGAATGTGTGCTTGCTTTAGTTACATCTTCAACAAGTCTACAGTAATGTTCTGATGTGGTTGGCTGAATTTAGGGACCATAGGACAAAACTTCCAAGAGCAGCATGTGAAGTTTGGGTACAAATTTTTGCACTTATGTGATAAATGCTTGAGAAGTGTCTAGAAATCAGTGTTGCTTGTTACTGCAAGCTACTCAGCCAGCCAGTTTAAAAAAATAAAAATCCCTCAATATTAAACCAGAAGCTTAGGGACATCATCTTCTACAGCACAAGGATCTAACAAAAATTTAATTTTCAGAAGTTTCTGGAAGGCCAGGTTCAGAATATTCTTCATTTAAGCATTTGGGAAAAAACCCACAAAGCTCAATCACTGACAGGGACTGCATAAACTCCAAACCAGCATGGTAAGTAGACCCAAAGAGCAACATGGAAAGATTGGTATTTCAAGCTATCATAATAAAATATGAGATAGTATTACATTGGAAATCAAACATATCAAAACCTCACCGATGGCAGAGCCTTCTTTAATGAGCCTAAACTTCTAAAGGAACGTCTGAAGTCATGGCCCCACTCGGAAATGCAATGAGCTTCATCAACAGCTATGAGGGTAATACCTGGTGGGCACAAAACCACAGCATTAACACAAGACAAACCAACATGGGAAGTGACAAAATACAGACACCCTATTCTGCTCAAATTCAAGCTTTCCTGAGAAGGCACCAGCAGTCTGCCTAAATTATTGTTTCTAGAACGCCTTCTGTTATACTGAGTCCCCAAACCCATTTTTCTAACAGCCTCTTTTTTAAAAAGGCCCAAGAGCTTTTACAGACACCCCTACCACTATCTCTGCTTCCTTCTCAAAGCTCCAAATCCCCAACATCCCTCACAACGTGTCAAAATCTTGAGCTACCTCTGACAGGACCTTTTGCCACCCACTGCTTCCCAGACTTTCTTAACAGTCACAAATGCTGATTACAGACGTCATTAGTTTTATTTTCTGGGTTGTAAAACAAAGCCCGAGTGCCTCAAGTCTTCAGTGAAGAGATAATGAAACTCCAGAAAAATGCAAGGGCAGAGGGGCTAGATGCCCTTGGAAAATAACCTTACATTTTCTGCATCAGAAAAAACACTCGAGTACAGATACACCATTCTAATCTGCATGTTCAAAGCACCCTAGTGTCAGAGAGGCCAAGCATACAGTTTCTTGGGACTCTGCAAATTCAGATGACACGCCTCCTCCTCAATAGTCCTTCCTGCCTACAGCACTAGAAACTCAGTTCCTTAGTAAAAAAAAAAAAAGTTTGATGTTAACATGCCTTTAATTTACCCTACCAGGACAGCTTCATCAGCTGCCTCATCTTCTATGAAAAGAGAACTTTTAAGATGCACTACAGTGTTTCAACACACAGTTTCTTTCTTACCTTCTGAGAAAGTTCAGAGAGATTAGAATACTTAAAAGGCTAAAATATTTAGTGATATGTTTCACTTACTGTGATTTAGAGATCAGTGTTTTTAGCACCTCTGTTCCCAGTAAACTTTAACATTCCCGTACCAAGACCACACTGAAGGCACTACTCATATGATATTTTTTTCATCAATGACAGGATCTTCTGACACCTTTTACTGGCAATCACTACACTAGCCTCTGAGCTCACTAGTGGTAAGAAATTGGTGAAAAATGTTCAAGCATTAAAAAAGTTTAAATGTAATAATCAATTTAAGCTGTCTGCCAACTCATCCACCGCCTTACCCTCAACTTACCGATAGTTTGGTCAAGATTCTGAAGCAAGTCTAAGTTCCCCGAACAAAACTCTGGAGTCATATATATGACTCTGTACTGACCCCTGAAACATCAAGCAAATACACTGTCACAGAAGGAAAAACCCCAGACAATTCAGGCAAATGAAACAAAACCATGATTGTCCAGAAGATGTAAATGAGAACAAGTACAGACTTCTGAATAGGGAACAAGTGGAAGGAAGTAAAGACCATAGAAAGCATTCCAGAACAGTAGGAAAGCAAGGCAGTACACAAGGCTAGAGGAAAAGGAGTGACAGCAGAGAGATTTACTAGCCTTTAGAACAAGAAGGGACTGTTGTGAGACCTGTATTTGTCACCAAGTCTAAGACCTATGTAAAATCATGTATACATCACAACATAAAGCTGAGTCAGCAAGCCCCATCTCCCCAGCCAGAGGGCACAAGAGGGTGGCTACAGCCTCCCACACACTCCACCCAGGTGAATGAAAGTAATATCACCAACTCCCAGGTTCCAGGTCTGGGCCAAAATAGAGTTTTAGCAACAACGGATCAGGGAGACCTAACAAATACAGCTATGCCAGATCCTGCAGCCTCAGAAAGCTTAGCTAAAACTTACGCTTTGATGCATTCTTTGATGTCTCTCGACTGAGCTGAACCAAGCAAGCAAGCTGGAATCCCTGACATTCTGCAGAAATAAAAAGCACAGTTGTTAACAGATTTCCTCTCAAGGCTTTCTGCCTTAGCTTTCAGCCTATGCTGGCACTTCATAAAGGAAGTTCAAGCTGCAAGGTCAGAGACTACTTTATTCCAAGGATCTTTGTGGGGTAAAAACTTTTGAAGCAGCAAGAATGGTCAGTGGCTATTCCTGCCACTCAAATGCTCTTTTGCTTCCCCTCCAGCTGTCCCCCACAACACACACACTTGATTAGTACAACAAGGAATTGGAGAAATAAAGACCATTTTCCTTGCACAAGAGCTAAGATGACTAAGAAAACATCTAAAAGAAGAAAATACGGTAAGTCTATTTTCTTTAGCTATGATCTGATGCAGTTTATTCACATTTGGACGTAAGCCTTACTAGCTAACAATTTTCTGCCTCACCTTTCAATCTTCTGTGAGCTAGTGGTGCTGCATCTGCTGATTTTCAACCTGGTGGCTGCTTTTTAATGACAAATTCAATAATTATGCTTACTAGCTCAGCCACTTCATATTTGACCTCTTTCAGGACCCCGCAACCCCTGTGCTCTTAACTTGGCTATTTACTGCATTTTTATTACAGCCCTTTGTTTCAATAGCTTCTCCCCCATCACTGCTCTGCGTTTCAGTCCTTGGCAGAACTGCACCCAGACTGACAAACAAATTACTGAATTGCATTAGGTTGTAGAAATTCACTCTCCTCAGCCTTCAAAATGAATGACCCACTGAGAAGGTAGTGAATAAACCATTTCCACAGAGGAAAACTTATAAAAGCCAAAGAATCAGCTGAGTACATATAGACACCCTGCTGATTAATACTCAGTCTAGGAGCTGGCTATATAACCAGCGTAGGCTGTCCAGTCATTCATCTGTGCACAGTCATGATGTGCAGCACAAAATACGACACATAATTGATGGTCTTTACTTCAAAAAAATCTTCATATCCCCGCTTTCACAAAAGGCCTGTTCTTTCTAAGTTGGACAAGGCAGGAATGAACTAGACAACTCAGCACGATTCCCATGGCTTAAATGAAAAAAAAAAAAAAAAGTCAGAAGTGAATAGCTGTTATAACAGAAAGCAAGTACGCATAGGGAAAGCATTATCAAGTATTAAAATCAAAGAGGCGACACCTATAACTGCTCATGTACGAGCAATTCAGTGTCATACACCAGTTCCCCCATCAGATCTTTTAAGAAGGGAAGAGGCCAGGTGTTTGGAGACCACTCCACTGTCCACCTTAAAAGTCTGTGCCATTACTTTGATCCAAACAGCTTCCAGCTTCCAGCTGCCCGCTGTTCAGATGTTATTTCTTAGATCCAAAGGAAGCCCTACCAAATTTTGACTTAACTCTCACAGGCTGAAACAGCCTGTGAAACTCCTCCATCAGTTTGGTCTGTGCAAAAAGGGCCTCTGAATCCAGGAATACTTGAGAAGGATCCACCTTCAGGAACCACCCACCAGCGCAGATCATTTGCTAATTCAGCCTACAGTTCATGTAATTGGCAAATCCAGAGATTTTACACTATTTACACAGTTTGCATGTGTTCCTCAAGAAACATATGCTTTACAGCTAACACACAAACAGCTTGCTGTACAAAACTGCAACCTTAAACACCAAGAAATGCCACAAGCAGAATCCGTGGGTTTCCATAAGCAATACAGCAGCAGCTTGTTACTACTGTGTTACTTACGTCAGCTGCAGCACCTGGTCCTCCATCAAGGAGATAAGAGGACAGATGACAATTCCTGTACATCCAGTGTAAACTGGAGGAAACTGGTAGCACAAGCTTTTTCCATAGCCTTAAAGAAAAAAGGCAGAAGTGAAGCATCATGCTTTCTATGCAACGATGACATACAGCTACATAAGACAATTCTAACACCTTGTCGAGCCCTAAAAGGAAGGCCATGTTTGTTCTGCTAGCAGAGAAGCAAAGATGCGAGATAAATATCGTCAGCATCTATTTGATACCCCTCTCTACGTCAAGGTCAGTGACAAAGGCTAGGACAGAAAAACAAGTAGCCAGCACAGCTGGCTCAGACTTAGTTTCAATCAGGGCATCCTGTTCACAGGAGCCACATGGGCAGTCTCCAACTTTGAGTTCTACTCTCCCCAAAATGGAAGATCTTTTTTGCTGCCGCTTAGGATGTAAAGGTAACTTACCAGTTGCCATGACAACAAGATTATCTCTTCTGTCTTCTAGAACAGAATTGATCACTTTCCACTGGACCCTTTAAATTAAACAAAGGGGAATATTTTATTTTTGTCACCACACGTAACACGGAAATTTTCTTAAAATGCATACTCGGTTGAATTTCAGGTTAAAGAAACACTTTTGGCTGTCTTTGACAGTTGTCTTTGCACACTGCAATCACTCAAACACTCCAACTACTGCAGGTAGTACCACCAGTGTTACACTGGGGATCTCTAACAGGACTAAAGCGAGCAACATTTGATGCAGTCATTCACAGAAGATCACAAAACAAATCATGTGTCTTGTATGTTAATAACTGACCTACAAATACTGCAAAAAAACTACAGTTATCTTCAAGGCAGAATGTTCTAAACAGGCCCTTGATTTTGCCAAACCATTTTTCATTCTTTTGTGGTCTCACATGTGCGGTCATCTAGAAAAAAAAAAAAAATCCCCTCACCCCTGTTTCCAGAAGTTTACCGAATATTTGAATAGAATAAAACAGCTTCCCCTCAAGAGCGGCTCTTAAGCTGTGTCTTGCACAGAAAGCATTCCACCACCAGTCATCCAGGAAGATTTCATCCCACTCCCACTGAAGTCAAGAGCTGTAACAGCAGTGCTTGAGTACATCAGCACATACTGCACTGAGATTATGCCACAACAGATAAAAGCCTGTAGCTCATTAATTAGAGCCACATAACAAAAGATAACCAGACTAAAGAAGTTTATCAGATAGAGAATAACATCTGTGCAGTTTGTTACTCTGTTTAACACACCTGAACTGGACCTGATACAATAAAGCTTTGATCACAGCAGGTAAGCCATCAGAAGAGTCAAGAAACTGATCCTCTACTGCGAGAATACAGTGTTGTAATTAACACTCCACAAGATTTTGACATCTTGTTGTGATAAAGGCTGCTTTTCTTCTCCTAGGGATTTTGCACAGGTCTTAGTCTGTTAGTGGTTTTTAAAGTAAGTAGTAATAAGAATCATCTAAGTTGAAAAAAGGGAAAGAAAACGAATCCTAGAGTGTACATTTTAACAGAAAGTACACTTACGGTTTAAAAGAAGAATGTCCAAAATATGTCTTCAGACATGTGATGTGGCTTTCAACAGGTACTGGCAGCAATGGATCTTTAGTGGGAGAGAGGAGAAAAAACCTTTATCTGTGATTAAATTTTAAAGAGACAAAGCACTGTCTTGACAAACAGTCTGCTCATGGTTAGTGATGCCCAGGGACTAGGATTTGGGCAAGTCCATTGAACAGAGAGACACTGAGCTCTGAAGATATTTACAAGCTAAAATAAAGGATTAAAAAAGCAAACAGGCTCCTCAGAGACCCTGCATGAGGAAGAGAACATATATGGCCTGATTAATGCGATAATAAATCAGTAGATATTGTAATGCACAGCTGTGTTATTTTGAACATGTTCAGTTGAGGTACTAGAGATGTTTTACTAGGCATGCCTTTAAGGGCCCTACTAAAGTTACACTAATCAACACCCAACACTACAAGTCGCTAACAAAGTCATGGTCCAAAATTACATACTAGGGGATCTTGATCTTGCTGTGAGCACTGAAGAAACATAGTCAAGATCTTTGTTGAAATTTATAATTAACATTCAGCAGTAGAAAGCACGACATTTCCAACTAGTTTTTGTCTGTTGGACAAGTACACGTTCCCTGAAACGGCCTGTCTGGCTACTGTTTAGAGAGATGAAGTGAACAAAGAAACAGTCAACTCATTGGTCCCAATCTAGAAGCCCACATTCTGCGTGGAAGAAGCAAGCAGTTTTTTTCCTGGCTGATGCTGTTACTTTCAGTTACAAGGTCCACAGCCTAACTTACACAACCAGGGAAGGAAGCCTTCACACAGTGACAATCCAAACAAGCCAAGGCGTATTTCACCTCACATTTCAGCCTTTCCCCCGTATGATATGTCTCTACAGGGCCAGCTCCAGAGCATTAGGTCAAGATCACCTCCAAGCCATAATTTTGTAAGAATTCTACCACAGAGCAGCAGTAGTGGGACAACAAAACAAAAGCGTCTAGTGGAGGTACCATCTTCCCCTTTGCTGTTTCCTGAATAGGTCCCCTCATGTCTGCATGACCTCCAGATTGCCAGATCAGTTTTACTCCCATTCATCATACATAATGTCTACTGATCGTGGCAGGAGTCAGCTATGCTTTGCCAAGGACACTTTTAAGCTTTCATCTCGACACACAGACAAGTACTCCTTTCAAAACCTAGAAGAGCTTTAACTTTCTGCTTTAAGAAACCAAGCACAAAATGTCGCCGTGCTTCCACATCTGCTTCAATAGACAGTGAATCTGTTTTATTTAATCATGCACTATAACTTAAAACGTACCCAAACGTTCCTCCTCCTCTTCCTCAATGCCTTCATCCTCATCACCATCTGGTAGAATGTTCAATTCCGTATCAGGAGTTTTCCTGGCTTTATCAGACTCTCTCTCAGTTAAAACTCCTTTGGATTTGTCAACATCTTCTAAAGACTGAGAAATCAGGAGAAAGTTATTTCAGAACATGAAAGGGTAGATACAATGCATGTCTAAGGTAATATAAGGACACATGAATTTTAATCTACTTACGGCATAAAACGTATCTATTGGCACACAGCACAAAGAAAAGCACAATGGTGAAACTACTTTGAGTAGCATTCAAATTCCAAGAGTCACTTCCTGGGTACCATTACAATGGCTTTTGTTTCCTCTTTGCAAAACAGTCTTTGAAATTTTGGGGGTTTGGGCTTTTGTCTGTGGGGGTTTTTTTGAGGTTTTTTTGGTGGGTTTTTGTTTGTTTGCTTTGTTTGTGTTTTTTTAGTTTTTTTTTTTTTTAACTTTCAAGTAGATGAAGGCACAATTTTCACCGAGCAGTGACTTAAGAGGCCAGTCACAAAGACAGACACAGAAAGGATGGGATCCCAACGTCACATTACACTGTTTCCAAACCATGGTACTCAGAGGAACGCTAACTGAACCCCTTGCACACAAGTTAGTTTTTTTGACCAAAATAGCATTTATAGAAGATTGACATGCAGCACTGAGAACCATCCAGGGGAGACCTGGCCCTTCCCTAGAAGGAAATTCAACTTTTTCTCCAGGCCTTTGACTCTTGCTTCCTACTTAGCTGTAAGCAACACACTTAACCTTCAATGTGTCCAAGCACACACATACTTGTGACCGCTCTGGTGGAAGTGTTCAGTCACTTGACTTGAAATACCTATAGCACACCCTGAGGTATCAGCAGAAAAGCCAGGGTAAAGCAAAATAGGAGTCAACATCTAAATCTCCTTTTCAGGAAATAAAAGTTATAGCAGTAAAAACACTTTGAAAGGGGCCTGCAAAATATGGCTACAAAGCTACTTGAGCCCAGGTTATCAACACCTGCAGTGCACAAACCGCCCTGTCAGCTCAACCCCTTGGACAAGGGTTTGATGCATGACACTTAGAGCAGATCAGTTTATAAATTATATTCTACACAAATGCACCACGTGGGTGGTTCAAGTCCAAACTGGAATAGTAAAGATGCAATAGGTTGCAAGTGGTATTGAAGTCTAACACTTGTAAATTGAATTCTTTAGGTATCCACACATTCACGTGTCTTCTATCCACCCTCTGTAAGCAACACTGTTTTGCTTCATATTCCCTCAACTACACTCCACTCCACTGTGACCCAAGAGCACAATCATTACAAAAAGAATTAAAACACAAAACCCTGAGGCACTCACTTTAAGCATCTCCATTTCCAGTTCTTCATCACTCTCAATGACAGAGGAAATATTTTGTTCATTGTCTGTGGAGCATGCCTCCTAAGGAAAAAGATAATTATTTTCTTGTTATCAGCAAAATTATTTCTTTCACCCACAACCTTTCAACTTTCTGTACATACTCTAAACCACTACTCTGTATACTTTTACTTCTTACCAAAAACAACTAAGCTCAACATTCAGCTCTGAAGCCTGCCCATTAAAAAAAAAAAAAAGATCTGAAAGAAATATTAGAACATAACAAGGCCCTGTAGTAAGAGTCAAAACTAGTAGTATCACCAGATGTGTGAAACACTTGAAACATAAGGAAATTATAATTTGATTTGAGAGGCATCAATCTACATTCAGCAGTCACTAGGACTGCTATTTACAGATCCCTTAGAAAAAGATCTGCTTTTTATTCATGACCAAGCTGGAGATGCTCAAGTGGAGAATTTATACTGTAAGACATTCTTTGATGACATATTAGCAGCTGAAAGAGGAAGACTAATCAGACTATCTAGAGCTTCTGCATTCAGTCCTAATCCTTACAACCACATGACTGAAGAGCAGCTCAGTGCTTGGCTACCTCCACAAATATTTTCCAGACTGAGTCCTTCTTCCAGCCGACCTTAATATTCTCTCAGGAATAGAACTTCTTAAAATCTTGGGGGAAATTAAGGATGAGATCACCTCCTCTGCTGAGTGTCCACGACTAATAAGGACTTCTGATTACCTCAGGTACAGCTTTGTTGACCAGTTCTTTTGCAGCCTGATGTTCCCAGATCTGAAGTTCTTGCTCAGTAATGTCTAGAGACATGAAGTCGTCTCCATCTGCTCTGCCCTTAGAGCTGGCTGCTGCAGCCCCATTGTCCACAGTAGTGGTACCTCTCTCTGCCTCTTCTTCATTACCATCTCCCTCCCAGAGGCCAGCTAGTGTGGCATCAGAGCAGATGTTGAAGTCACCTTCAAGTTGTTTAGCAAATTCAGGCATTTCAACTTTTTGCACTGCATTTGCTGACTCTGGTTCAAGATATGTTGGAGTTGCGCCACAGCTCCTCTTCGGTACAGAAGGGGAACCTGAACCAAACAGCATGCTTCTTAAAGCATTTATATTCTCTGATACATCAGCTAGTATTTCTGCAGCCCTAGAAGGTAAAACAAGAAAGTTCAACCAAAATAATGAAGGCAGTTACTACATACACCTTAGCCATAAGCAGAACTAAGGATTCTGAAGTGTCTGTTTCTCCAGAGAGATTTTGTCTGGAACTTCACATATAAAGGCTCATCACTTATATGTAACTGGCATTACACTTCTGTGAGAAGAAAATTAAATTTCAAAGAAAATCTGTACAGACCCTCCAAAAACACTGTTTGTGACATTGCCCCCAGGCTCGTATCAAGTCTCCAGACTTCTAGTAGTTAGTCACACAAGAGTCCCAAGTATTTATGAAAGAAGGTCTTGCTGCGCATTTCAGCAAGAAGAAACAGATTCAGCAAAGTTCAGTGTCAAACCCATTGCAATTAGACCAGTGATAACCTATGTTCCTATGCATAAAGACAGTATTTTCCCATCAAGTGTACTGTGCTTTCTTCTCTTGGAAAAGCACACCCAGATAACAGATTGCCGTTCACACGCATGTATTTTGTTGCATGGGACCTCAGGGATCACGAACAAAACACTGATCTTACAGGTAGATTAGAGATAGGCTGGCAAAAAATCTGACCTCTCCAAATTTTCAGGTTGTCCAGAAAAGACAGGGATGTGAGAAGCCAGGTCCTTCATCTCTTCAGCTAGCGAAGTCAAGCGTTCCTTCACACCATCTGACAACGTGTCATCTATAGGAAGTGCCATCAGAGTTATTTCACAGTAATTGAATCCAACATGCATACGTAAGTAAGTTCCATTCAAGTAACTGCATTTCTACAAGATCCACAACCAATAAGACAGCCTTTTCCAGTGATTAAAAGTGAAGTACATGGATTCAGGCCATGCTTCCATGTACTTCACCACTGCATCTCTTCCAGTGGCCCATTACATGTGGTCAGGGAAACAGAATACAGAACAAGACCGTTACAACATGATCCTTCCCCAGTATACCCTCCAGCTTCCAGAAAAGAGCTGCCAATACAGAGAGGTTGACAAAACCAAAGCCAAAAAATCGTACCTCATTAACAGGATAGTACTGACACTTTGGTCCTTGATAGAAAAGTAAAATCCGGCCAGTACAAAAAGGAAACAAACTTCCCCCCACCTCTTTTTCAACCATAAGCGACATGTAATACTTAACCTCCTTACGAAGCATGGAACTGAACAAAAACTAAGATTTTAGAACGACTTTTCAAATCAAGTAAAAAATGCTATGCTGCTCTAAAAAATTTTGGTCCTGTTTATACACCTCAAAAAAAGCATTACTTCATAACATGTATTTTTTTTGTGGTCTTATTTCTTCTTAAACTAGATCTTTGTCCCTGCATCAGCAGAATTGAAATTAACTCACTGAAGTGTTTCCATAAACAAACTGGAATGACAGTAGGAATTCTTAACATCTCCATGTACAGCAGAAACAAATAGCATACCAAGACTGCAGTCCTACATCACTATGGAAAATAGTTACATAGTATGGTAATACAGATCATTTAAGAGCCTTTACAGTCTGCTCTCTGGAAGCAGTGTCTAATCACCAGGAAGCCAGACAATCCTGACACAAAGACACTAGGAAAAAAAACTGTTGGGAAATAGAATAGTCAGTTGTACATTGACTAAATTCCTTATGCTTGAATGTATAATTTACCTCTTCTTACACAAAATAATTTCCGGTCACTGTCACTCATATTTTTCAGTTTTTGATAAATGATGAAGCCAGCCTGCAAAAGAAAGGAGGAAAAAAAAAAAAACAAACAACAAAACTAGTACTCAGTACTCTGCAGAGAAACACCTTAGACACTAGACAAAAAAACCCCCATGAATTAATTCAAACCAGGGCACGAATACATTGCAAACATGAAATTCTGAGTTGTTGGCCCATGCCGTACAACGGTCAATAGTCTGCCTTACTGCACTGTTCATCACAACCATGTTACCTTCTATAGAAAGTGTCACAAAAGGAAAAGTCCTGTCTCGGGGTCCACATTGTAGAGGATACTCTTATATAGAACCCAGCACGGTTACCTTCTAAAGTTAGCTGCAAATAGAGAGCTCCAAGTCTCACCATCTGCTCCACCTCATTCAGATTTTATGTAGTGCTCCAAGAGATTCAGTATGAACCTAGTAATATAAATTCTGTTTGCTTAATACTTCCCTTGATATGAATAATAAGTTCTAACAGGAAAATGTAGCCTAAAGCTACGAATGTGCTAATTAGGCTACACATGTTAACCAAAGCATCTTAAAGAGGAAGGAGAAAGAAACAAGTTACTCCTCCATGTTTTCCTGTGAGACTCCAAAAGGCAAGTCAGGTGAACAGAATATAGCAAGAAAAAGGCATTGCCTGAAAAAAGCTGGCTGTAGCAGCTCCACCAGGCACCAAAAATAGAGCTCCTTTCCTTACTGATTTGGGTCTTAACAGGTTCTAAACCCTCCACAGTTTAACATCTAACTAAACTAGAAAATATGCAGTGTTTCCCCGAGTCAGGAAAGAAAGCCGAAATCACCACCCCACTTCCCTTCCTCTGTCTAACCTCATCACAGAAATAAAAGCCTGAGGGGATTTTATTTTGCTGCCATAAAGAACAATCTTCTCCCAGAAAGCAGGCAGCACCCAGCAGCATGTTAGTAAATCCCTTCACAGAACTGCAGGAAAACTTCACTCTGTTCAAAATGGTGAAAAAGCAGAGGCTTCTACAGAGCTACAAAAATTCATATAGAACTAAATTACTTTTCCTGGTAATCCATACTGTGGTTGTGCTGCATTAGCCACTGGAGAAGGTTGTATTTCTTCACAGTTGCTCATTAATTTTATCTCAGATTATATTTAGCAGGATTTTGGATCATAAGCAGCTCAAGGAAAATGACCAAAACCCCATTAGAAAAACACATCCAAAAGGGCTAACAAGCTACAGTTAATATCTGCAGACAAGGGAACCAAAAAATAATTACCCACCCTTCACTTCTGTAAGCGATTATTGTACTTAAATACGCATCAGGCATGTTACACCTATGTGGAATAATGCTGCAAGAATTACTCCATACAGACAGATGTAAAATTCATCCAACTGCTCCATCAAAACTCACTTCTCTGAGGTGACAACTTGAAGTGAGTCCAGATAGATGGGCACTCCTCAGGCAGACTTGGTGCCCGTGGTACTTGGCAGATTCAGAGCACAGCAGAACTTCCAGGAGCTTTGCTTTGTGAATAGCCTTCAGTAAAAAGGCAAATCTTGCAATACGATGAAGCATTAAGAGGTAAAGAACTCATGGGAGGGTCAAGGCTGCTGTGGAATGGAATGTTGATTGCTTCCATCTACATTCAATTTTCTACATAAAATGTTCACCACAACATCCTCTTCAAGTGATCTCAGCCACAAGACAGGTTAGAGAGTCAGGTACGAGCAGCAGCATCTTCAGAGAAGACACTATGAACCTCTAGATGAATACTGAAGTTTAAATACTGGAGATAAGCAAGGAATTGGACAGCAACCTATTTGCTTGGATTTCTACCTTTAAGCATCCCATATCCACAGTGAACCTCAGAGTCTTACTAAGTTCATCATGTTCTATAGCAAAAAGGCATTAAGAACAGCAGCTAGCAGCACGTTAGAGAAGGAATTTATCGACACAGGTGGAATGGTGATCACTTCTTGTACGTACATAGGCATCTGTGGCTGCATACAATTTTTGCTCATCGCTGAGTGGAAACTCTTCCCAGTTACTACAACGGACAGACTTATCCTTCAAAAGCTGCTTGCCAAAAAGGTGTTTTACCAGATCGTTTAGACTCCATATCTCCTTACACTTCAGCTGGAGAAAGAAAAAAAGACAGAGGATTTGTTTAGAGGAAGAAGCAACCAAACCTGGCAAAAATCTATATCTTGAAGCAGTAAAGTGTACTTAATCCCTTATCAGAGTCAGACTGCTCTGGGTTAGTCAGAACAAACTCGTCTCCCAAAGCAGTGACTGTTCTACAGGCCTAATTCTGCTCTCATCATATTAAAAGGTAGTTTGGCCATTTGAACAGTATGTTTCTCTGCCATGAAACTGTATCGTTATGAGGACAAACCTCCATTGTCAAGCTGGAAAGATGGCATTAAGGCCAGATGAGTCCACGCAATGTAAGGTGGTATTGTCACACTACCAAAAATAGGAAATATCTGTACAACATAGTCTCTGGGTTGATAAAATAAAAGCCATACACTTAAACAGCAAGCCCCCTCTCTTCCAGGATTTTTTTTTTATTATTATATGAGTTTCTCTAATTAGAAAGGCAATGTCAAACACCAGGAATTTATTTAATATAAACACAGGAATATTCAAGTCTGCCTATAAGGGTTTTGTCATCTTTCGCAAGTCCAAAACCAAGCACCAGTGAAAGAGCACAGTTACAGACCACGCTAACCACTATTCAGCCTGCTTGGAAGCAGTTAATCAGAAGTCTCTAGAAGTCACCTCACCACAATGCTGGTTTGAATTGTTTTCGTAATTGTACTTGTCAATCACAGTTGCTACATGTTATTGTCTTAATAGCCAGTTTGGAAAACTTCCCTTCAGACCCCATGGATCCAGGACTCGCAGGCACTCCTTCTGCTGTTCCAGCTTGCAAGCACTTGCAAAACATGCAGAACTGTTGAGCGTAACAGCGGCAGTGCAGCATTATCAGCTCATCCCTCAAAATCTGGTATAAAAAAACCAAACCTACTCACTGTTCATTTTAGGTTCCCCCAGCCCTCCCCCTTGTATTCTACCATTATATATAACCCTACTCTTTGTTCTCTCAAGCTTCACTTTCAAGTTTATTTTCGGTTTGTTTTCTCTTTAGCACAATACTTTAAAGCTGCTAGCAGAGATCACGTTGCTTGTCTTCGTAACAAGTTATCCTGGAGTTGGATGCTGGGATGAAAAAAAGGAGGGGGGTGAACTGAGGAAACTCCACCTCTGAAAAGAAACAGCCCTTTATATCATGTGAACAAAACTGTTTAATTTGCACAGCTTCAAACCTACCAGAAACTGAAACTTCAGGGTGGCTCATATGGAGAGCACTGCCCCAAAAGCTGATGATACATCACATTCCCCTCTCCCCCACTGTGTTTTAATTACAGAGGGTACATAAAGCACAGAACAGAGAAAGGTATGAGTAGTATTATTTCTGGGCATAAATCTCTGCCCTCCACCAGGAAACTAGAATTGTTGCTATCAGCCTACCAAACAAAATAATGCGCAGAAGGAAAGAGAAGTGCATGGAGAGACCAAGTACAGATAAGGAAAAGCTTTAAGGGACATGCTAGAAATAAGAACAGTAGGATAATTTGGAAGGTAATGAACCTTTTGCCCTCTTCCTTAGTGTAGGTGGCACAGATCTCCCTACATCAAATGATATCTAACCAAAACACAACTAAACTGAAATTCAGGGTGTGCCAAATGCAACACTGCTTCTAAGCAATGGGTCATCAGGTTCTGGGAAGCTACACCCACATGAAAGCAGAGGCAACACCAACTGCAGAGTCATGGAAACAAAGATATTTCTACAGCTCCAGATTACGTGGAAACACCTCCATATGGAGGACTTCAGGGAAGACCTCGATGCCTCCTTCCAGCACGAAGCAAACCATGGCAGGAGGGCTGTCTCCCTTCCAGCAGGCATCAGTCCTTCACTGCCTCCGGCAGTATTTCCTGCATCTCATTTTAAAGGTTCAGCCATTGCTGGAACAAGTACTCCATCTCCAGCAGAACCCTGACTTGACGCAATCTGGTAATTTTCATCACTAAGAAGTAAAGAAAATGAATCTGCAGTTGAATTAAAAAGCTATGCCTTGTAAACGCAATAGGTTAACAGACCCGAAAGGGGACAAATGATCATTAAGAACTGGCTGACTGAAAGCCAGTACTTAGTTCTACAGACTTTCTTGAGTTCTAATTATTTTTTTTTTTTAAAGTTAGAATGCATCTCTGCTTTACTCTACAGAATACATTTGCTATCGGAATTGAACTCCTATGAAGACAAGGAAGCCTCCTTTCGCATAGTACAACAACAAGATTCCCTCCCACAACAAAAAGGTTTTAAGTTTTACTTTCTCATTAGCAATGTCAGCCAGCTCCACAAAGCTCTTCAGTTTGATTTCAAAGTCACTCATCAGCTTCCATTGATCTCCCTCAATTCCTACGCCAACCTTTTTAATTGTTTCATCTTCGAGCAGTCTTCTGAGTCCCTTGGGAAAACCTAAAATAGATTAAGCCCAAACATGAGAAACTAAATACTGGATGATGCCAGAAAGTCTAATGGAAATAAAAGAATCTTAGCACAAAGGCCATCTGCAAAACTGTGCTTTTAGAGGAAAAGCCCCTGAAGTTGCTCTGTTTATGTGACTGTTCATACTCTAGAAATGACTGGAAACACCAGTTGGTTATAATGAATCATCTGCAGACAAGCAGGAATGGCATATTTGAAATACAAAAGTTTATTCTGCATTTGAAAATAAATCAAGTAAAAAAATTAAACAACCTTATTTCATTTGTCTTACTAATCATTAAATCACATAAAAAGACAACCTCTAACTGAAAATGATATTTTAATTTTCAGAATTGGATGCTCATGAAACCAAATGTAATATTACTTCATTATTTTCCACATTAGTCCTTCCCAGTTTTTGCTCTTTCACATTCCCGGGAAACAGTTTAAACTGTACACATGGGGAATCACCAGGAAAACAGAATCTGTGGAGGCATACTCAGTGCTAACACTAGGCTTTCTCCAACAACAGAATCTGGAAAACAGAATTTGCCAACCAGATCTTCCGGCAAGCCCAGATAAGTCAGTCTTGTAAGATAAAAACCAACATTCAAGGATACGCACAGATGTTAAGTATTATATTTTGATTTATCCCAAACTGATGGCACAGCGATCCTGGATCAAATGGTATTCTCAACTTTACAGGATGGAATAAAAGCATGCAGCTTTCATATCTGGTTTTCTATGGGAGGGAACAGCCACAGACACTTCCTACTTGAACAAAAGCAGCCTTTTTCTCCCCTCTGTGTTTGTTTCCATTTAAAATTCAGAGCATCTTATTTAACTACATGCCTTCAGGAACCCACAGCTGGACACCATGACTTAGCCTGAAGTGTAATTCTAGTACCTATGAACAGGCAGTGCTGTGCATACACATAGTACTTAATATCTGGCTTGGTACCGATTTCAGATTTCACCTTTTTACTACTGTAATAAGTAGTATCACTTTGTTTTACACAACCATCTCCACACTTTCATGGCTACCACTGACACATACAGACATTTTTGCAACTATAGCCACAATCAGCTGTGTTGTGGACTGTGAAGTTGCGGGTCCAATTTAAAGCATTTGAAAATTACTGTGAAAATACCCACAAAACTGTAGTAGCCTGGTGCTGTAAGATGCAGACAAAGTACAACATTGCCAAAGCACTTCAGCCATAATACAACATGGAAAATCCTCTGCAGAGGAGAATACAGTTGAGCTGAATAAAAGCCTGCAACATATGCAGCTGACTTACTGAACAAGGGATTTTCACCTAAGAATACCATCATGAAAACCTTCAGGGATGGGAACTTCCCAGTAGAGGACTTGTGCTCCATTTCCATCACCTCATTTTATCAAAATCAACTGTATGATGTAAAAAGATCTAAGTTCAAGACTATAAGGAGGCCTGAGAAACAGGCCACACTTCCTTACAAATCTATAAGGAAAAAAACAAAGTAAGAAATGGAAAAGTTATATTTATCAGGAAGATTCTAGATATGTAATTTTGGTTCTTCATACACAGTCCAACAACCTTCCACTCTATTCTTCCTGCAGAAGGGAGCATTTATTTCTTCTGCAATGAAAATGATAAATCTTATCCACCTGGCTAATTTTGCTAACATCTGCATTTCTGTAGATCAAATGTATTCTGCATAAGAAGCAAAAATTGGCTGTGGTTCCTACAAAAAGGTTGACATCTAAGTCAGTTCAAAGTGCATCTCCCATTGGCAAGAACAGAAATTTTAGAAAATGATTCAGGAGGAAACACCATCTTCTGCTGTAACACACACTAGCCCGCATGCAACCATATTGAGCATCAACACACAAACATCTTCACTTCTAGAATCAAAATAATTTCAGCTCATTATGCCTCTTCTTCCCTTAGCTTCCTTTCCTCAAATCTCTTTCTTTTGTGCACTTGTACCTTCCTGCCTCCCAGATTGAATAGCCTCCAGCAATTAAATTTTCCACCCCATTTGCTATAAATGACAAAGGATCGAACACCAACATTAAAATTATCGCTATTATACCTCAGCATGCATACCCCAGGGAAATCAGAGACATCTCACAGGCATAGTTTCAATCTAACATTCAAACCAAAGGTTATAAAATTGCAGCCTCCTTCCCCCATTCCTATTTGGAAGCTTTTATTCACATCCGTAATGAATTCAGACTCTGTTGAGCACACCCCTTGCTCTCCCCACAGCTGCATCACACCAGGTATCCAGTATTCTTTCCGAAAACCAATGTCACAAAATGCAGGTATTTGGAACAAACAGCACAACGACCATCATTTTTGAGGGTTTTTTTGTTACTGAAGCCAAATTAAAAAGAAATACATCCTGCTAAATTTAGGTTCGTTGTTTATTTTGGCACTAAGCAGAAGGCTCATTATATGAGCATGGAATTAAGTTTTTAAAACTGAATTAAAATTTCTATTCCCAAAGAAAAATAACCCTCAAGTAAGATTATTTTGCTCTGTTCAGAACCCAAAATACTATATGTCAGCACACATAGCAACACTTGGGATAAGGTCCCCTTCATATTCAGAGGCAATACTCTGAGAATAAATCCCTTTATCATAGGTGGGAAAGGGGAGAGGAACAGATTTTTACAATCCAGTACAGTGTGAAATATCAGCTCTGGCTTAAGTTCAAACTTAATCACAAGAAACAGAGGGCAACTCATGCCCTAATTAATAAGAAGAGAGCATGTACAGTACCTGACATTGAAGAGATGTGAAACAAATAGCATTTCTCCACAGTTACACATATCTGGATCACAGCTATTTTTGCCATTTTTCCTTTAGTATATGATGGTGGCCATTCAATATCAAATCCAACAGCAGCCCCATCTGATAAACTCTGCCTGAAAATAAATGGATATTCTTCACATTTAAGTGTTCTTCTACCATTATTTAAAATATCAGGTTTAAGTCATCCTATGTAAAGATTATTAAGACAATCACAGGCGCTGCATCTTTCTTTACACACGTACAGGAAGCCATTTTAAAATCAAGACCATAAGGAGATAAAATTCCTGCTGGTCCCAAAAGCTACAAGAAATCCTTCAAACCTTAGCAGATCTTACTGCATACAAGCATCAGTATAGCCAGCTTCAAATAGAAAAGGTGATGGAATAGTTTACATTCCCCTGAAAGCTTGTTCTTTATCTAATCTCACTGCACTGGAAGTTTTGTATAGATTCCACCCCCCCTCCCCCGCCCCCCCATAATATGATCTGTGCTATTCAATAAAGGGTGGGTGTGTGGAAATAATTTAATTGCATCATGAATTTACTACCTTTTCTTCAAACATGCAGTCCCCAGTTAGGAATTAACACATATGCTTAATTTCTCACAGTGCATACTCCCCCGTGAAGTCACTGAAGTTCATGGAGTTATCCATACTGTGAAAGGAAAAGGACCTGCTGTTTGACCCTTTACCACTTCTGCTTAAAGGGACTGCAAGGTCCAGTGATGGCATCTCCCATAAAAAGACCAAATGGGAAACTATTAACTGCATAGCACAACGCAGAGGTATTTTTAAACCACAACACACTGTAGACAAACCAAGGATAATTCACCATCATGAGAAATAGGCTCAGTTTGTACTTGCAGCCAGCAAGACACATTGGCCACGTGTAATAGGACAGCCAACACGACTGGATGTTTTCTCTGGCTGAACTGTTGACCTCTGGACACATAAAATGCACAATCAGCCAGGAGGAGGAGACAGAGGGAAGAGCAAAGTCCTTTTCAAAAAGAAAAGAAAAAAAAAAAGAGGTATTACCTGATATCTTCTGAGATAAGGGAACAGTCCCTGGCTTCGTAGCTGTAAACAACAGAACCACGGAACTCTAGGAAGGGCAGCCCGTCTTCCAAAACACTCTTCTGAACAGTGGGCTTCTGTCGAACAACATTTGGAAGAGGCTCGGTTACCAGCCACAGAGATGTATCAGCACTGCAACCGCTGCCAGCGGCTTCAAAGCTGCATCCCAGCAAGGCTGGCACCCGTGGCTACCGAAACCTTGCAGCAGAACCGTGCTCCCCACGCAGGGCCAGTACCACTGTCAGCTAACAACAGGGCGACACCTCTCCTTTATAAAAACATTTTTGTTGGGTTCATGCCCAATTTCTTTGCTTAACTCCAAGCACTCTGACTGAAATCATGTAGGCCGAGTTTCCACCTCGATTTAGTTTAGTTGCATACTTCCCACCAAAGAGATCCAGGAGCTTTCCAAGAACAAGGTTAGGGAAAATATAAATTTTAAACAGTGTCAAACCCCTTGACACAACTTCAAATGCTGTAGCACTTGCACACCTCAAATTTGATAAAAAAAAAAGTATTAAAAAACAGACAGTCATTTGTTAAGTCATTTTTCAAGTAATTCAAACCTGGTCAGGCTGAAATCCTCTGACATATCTCTATTTCAGTACAGCTGTATGCAATAGCTCGCTTTTCCCATTTCTTGGGTCCCACATTTCAGCCAGCCCCCTTAACCCTGCCAGATATAACGCATGAAGGTCTAAGTAAACTCCACTGATTTAAAACTATGTGCGATATTTAAAAGGACCAATATTCTCCATCTACTGATGAATCCTTGTTTACAGATCGAAGCTTTAAGCGCACCAGGCAAGGTAAAAGGTAACACTCCAGTTGGCATTGTTTTCCCCCCTTTCAGAAGCATATTTACTAAAAGTTACTGATAAACTTACTTGAACTGCAAAGCTTCCGATAATATTGACCTGTCTGAAAAACCTTCAGGTTGATTAAAAATATGCAAGTAAGCTACAATGCCAGTAATAACACATATGGTTAAATATCACACAATGACACTTTAAGAACAAAATAATCTCGTCAACCAAAAGAGGCCACAATACATAAAACAGGTTTTAATACAGTTTCAGAAATAATAAGTTGCCTGAAAGGCTTTAACTGATGTTTTTTAATATCCATGCTACTAATTCTTTCCTCCCCCTTTATGGAAGACTCAGTTCAGCAATTTTCCTTCTGCTTCTTTCATTAATTAGTTTTGTAATTATTAAAGCAGTTTCAGATGTTCTGGGGGGAGGTCCCTTCTAGAGGGAAATTTTATACTGAAACTGCTCATATGTGCAAAAACAATGTCCAAGGACACATTAACATTCTTGGAACACCAGAAATGGACATAATCCTGATGATCAATTAATTCCAATACCTCCCAGCTGCAAAACCATCTGAAATACAGATGTGCAAATGCAGAAAGCCAGGGGGCCTTACCAGAACAAACTCCCCTGTCAGACTACAACTTAAACTCTCAAATTACATAGATGAAAAATCCCCTGTCCTTGCTGGTATCCAGCCCACAATCCTGAGTGAGCAATGCACCAAAAGCTCCCGTATACTTCAGTGTTTTTGTCACCAAAATTCAAGTTTATCAGGAAGAAATTTCTAGAGAGGTAACAGCAACAGCCTCTGGTCAGTATACAATATTTAAATGGAAAAAAAGAGGTACTTTAAGAGGCTAATTCAACCAGAAAGAACACAAGAGTACCTAAATTTAATTACAGTTCATAGGACTAAACAGCTGTAAAGATTCACAAATATCAGAGGCATGGGCCTAACTAAAAGCATGTGGCCCAGTGTTGTTTTATAATGCAGCTTGCTACCAACTAAATTTCTCCCATGTGATGACATACCTTTTTACCACCCAAAACTCTCTCTTGGTTTTGGGTAAGCATCCACTGTGGATATTTATTCTGCAGACTAGTAGTTTGCAAATCCATTTTATTCATTTTCCCCACATTTCTCCTACTTTTACATAAAAAAAGAAAACAAAAATAAAATAGTCAATAGTTTGTATAGAGACAAGCTGCTACTATCATAAGGCCAGAACAAGGTTAAGGAAGATCACTACCTTGAACTTAAAATGTTTTGTGCACGAGAACTGACATTTACAGAGCTGCACACACTAAAAAGCATAAAAGCTTTAGGCATTATATTCTTGTTCACACGCTGGTAAGAAAATCAAGAAAAAAAAAAAAACACATGAAAACCTCTTAAAAGTCCTTCTGGGAGGAAAAGTTCAGTCTAGTTTTATGGAGATCGGTGACTCGGAACAGAGGAGTACACCTACTTCCATCTATGCGCAACACAGCCCTCATTAATTAGACAAATCTATCTGGTGCTTTAGATAACAGCATAGGAGCCAGCCACCCAGCTTAAAAGCAGTCAGTTGCAGTTAGTTGCTGACAAACACAGTCAGAAAAATTCAAATTCAAAGCAAGAACTACCAGACTCATGCAAACGTTGCCCCAAGGCCTGCATTCCCACCACAGGGCCTCAGGGCTGCCAGCCCGGTAACCAGAAGAAAAGCCAGGCTGAATTTCTAGGGCCAGCTCCAGCCAAACGAGGCACGTGTTGTCAGGGTCTCTGGTGCAGACTGGAGGATGGCTGAGGTTACTTATGAATTTGCCAGCCCTGCATTCCAACAAAGCAAGCTCACCAAGCAGCCTATTCCCAGGGCATCAGGAAGCAGGGGACATCCACTAGAAGGGCAAGGCGCTCCACAGAGAAGTTACAGGAGATTTAAGTTAAGAAGACACACTGTCTGATACAGCAGGAGATTTCCAGCCCTGACAACTGGGGTTTTCTTTCAGGGAAGTGGAGCAGGATTTCCTAGTTGTGAGCAAACCGTGGCTGGATCAGAGCTGCTCCAGCTTCTACCTGGACTGCTTCCATCGCTATTTATAAATTCTCCTAGAGATGATGCAAAACAGCTCAGAAAGAATAAATTTCTCATCCAGTTTCATCCCACTGGTCTCCAGGTGCTCAATATACTTTAACAACAAAATCGGGCCACTACTGTCTTCGTAAAGAACGTACTTTCCAGCTGCACTTCCTCACCAACAAGAAAGTACAAATCCTAGGCAAACCGTGCTGCTTCAGTTCTTCAGTACTCAAAACCACCTTTCGATGTGCTAGTTGATTATCTAGGCTAGGTAGAATTCCTCCCTTGGCTTCCTGTCCACTCCTGCAGTAGCATAACCAACTCCCACCTCAAAGACAACTTTAAGAAGTTCTGTAATATTACAACAGTCACACCATAGCCATTAGCAAGGCGCCTCAATTAGAGCCACTCCGTTCCCGAGAACTGCAATTGCTGGAAAGAAAAGAAAGCAGCAGAGAGGCGAGGAGCAGCGAAAGGACATGCCTGCAGCACCCACCCCACAGCTCTAGCAACGCGTTTGCTGAAAAAAAAAAAACCCAAACCAAACAAACGAGCTCAAAGCTAAAGGGAGCCTTCCGTAATTACAGCACACGAGCCAGCGCCGCTCACCCACCGTTCCGGCGCTGGGCCCAGAACCTGAGCTTGGGCCCGACCGGCAACGAGACTCGCTCTGGGGTTAACGCGGGTTTAAACGGCGCCCCCCCCCCCCTCAGCGAGGGCCCCAAGCCCGCCCCGCCGTAGGAACCCCCTCAGGGGGCTCAGCCCCCCGCTCAGGGGCTCAGCCCCCGCTCAGGGGGCTCAGCCCCCCCCTCAGGGGCTCAGCCCCCCCCTCAGGGGCTCCCGCCCCGAGCCGGGGCCGCCGCCGCTCACCGCCACACCGGCGCGTCGCGCAATTCATACGTCACCCGGGCAGCCGTCTCCCTCCCGTCGTCTACTCCCCCCGCCGGGGGGCAGCGGTGGTGGGAGGTTACCCGAGGTGACGCGCATGCGCAGCGGCAACCGCCGCCGCGGGTCATTCTGGGCAATGTAGTCCCGGGGCCGGGCGGGCCGCGCACCCTCCGGCGCTCACCGCGCTGCTGCCGCCGCCGCCGCCGCCGCTGCCGCCGCCGCCCTCGGCCGGGCCGGGTGGGGCCGGCGGAGCGGGGCGGGGCGGGGCGGGGCGGGGCGGAGCGGGCGGCGGGGGTGCGCCAGCCCGTGGCTCTGCGCGGCGGGTGGGGGGGGGGGGGGGGGGGCGGCGGCGGAGCCGCCGGCTGCGGGCGGTGGCGGCGGCGGCGGCGGCGGCGGCTGCTGAAGGGCAGCGGCGGCGATGGGCGCTGTGGGGTGAGTGACCGGGCGGTGATGGGGCAGGAGATGCGGTGCTGGGGGGGCACTAGGGCGGGCAATACCGGAGCACTGAGGGCAGTGGGGGGCAGTACTGGGGGTACTGGGGGGCAGTATTGGGGCACGGGGGGGAGGCAGGGGGTCGGTATTAGGGCACTGAGGGGGTAGGGGGACAGTGCTGGGGCACTGAGGGGGCCGGGGGGCGGTGCTGGGGGGGGCATAGGGACACTGCTGGTGGCACTGGGAGGGGGAAGGAGGGGAAGCTCTGGGGGTACTGGGCAGGAGATGCAGTGATGGGGGGCACTGGGAGGGCAGTGCTGGGGCAGTGGGGAGCAGGAGGTGAAGCTCCCGGGGCACTGGGGCAGGAAATGCAGTGATGGGAGGGCAGTGCTGGGGCGGGGGGGGGGGGCAGGAGGGCAGTACTGGGGGCAGGGGAGCAGTACTGCGGGGGGGGAAGGAGGTGAAGCTCTGAGGGCACAGGGTCGGGTGATGAAGCGATGGGGGGCACTGGGACAGCAGTATTCGGGCTCTGGGGGTAGTGTGGGGGGCAGTACTGGGGGCACTGGGGGGCAGCGGATAGTGCTGGGGAAGATCCCAGTGCCCCGGGGAGAAAGGGCAGAGGCGGGTGATGGAGGGGGAACACAGCAGCATGGAGGAGGACCCTGCAGTGGGGAACAGGATCCCGGGGGGGGGGGGGGGGGGGGGGTTTGATGTTCCCCCCCCCCATACACAGCGGGGTCACCCCCCCGGGGCTCCCTGCTGCAGGGGAGCGGACACTGGGGCAGCTGGAGGGGTCTGCAGTGCCAGAGGGATGGGGCTGGGGGGCCATGCTTGGTCCAAGGGGGGCACGGGGAGGTCTGCAGGGCAGGGAGGGCTGCCGGGGCGGCGGAAGCGGGGGAACGGACAGCGAGGGAGGGTACCAGGGCCGGCGTGCTGCTTCCTTGTCTGGGAGGACGTCGGCCGGCCGGCGGGAGCCGGAGCAGGGGAGGGGAAGAGTGCCTGGGATCCTTTTGCTGCGATGCTGCGTGCCGTGGCAGCGGAGAGGGATGCAGGCGTCTTTGTAGGGAGAGCAGCGCTGCACAGAGACGCTGCCGAGAAGGCGAGCAGGCCCCTGGTGCTGATGTTGTCATCTGTGTCTCTGTTATATATTATTTCCAGCTGATTGGTAAAGATGGAAAGAGGGAGAGGAGGAGGAGGAGGAGGAGGAGGAGGCGGAGGAGGAAGGAACCTGGGAGGCTCTGGCCTGCAGAGGAGCATTTATTCCCAGTCCCAGCAGCAGTACCATTACCCGGCCTCCTCCCAGGGGGGCTGCATGGAGATCCAGGAGCTGGCCTCCAAGAGGGTGGACATCCAGAAGAAGCGATTTTATCTGGATGTGAAACAGAGCTCCCGGGGCCGCTTCCTGAAGATCGCCGAGGTCTGGATAGGAAGAGGCAGGCAGGATAATATCAGGAAAAGCAAGCTGACCCTCTCCTTGTCCGTGGCCGCCGAGCTGAAGGACTGCCTGGGGGACTTCATCGAGCACTATGCCCACCTGGGCCTGAAAGGCGGCCACGGTCACCGGCACGAGCACAGCAATGGCAAGGAGCAGCATCCCCGGAGGCGACAGCAGCACCCGCCGCCTTCGCCTCCGGCATCCGTCGGCTCTGAAGAGCACCCTCACAGCGTCCTCAAAACGGAGTACATCGAGAGGGACAACAGAAAGTATTACCTAGACCTGAAGGAGAACCAGCGAGGGCGCTTCTTGCGGATTAGACAGACCATGAGTAGGGGACCTGGCATGATGGGTTATTTTGGCCACAGCTTGGGACAGGAGCAGACGATCGTCCTTCCAGCGCAAGGGATGATTGAGTTCAGGGATGCTTTGGTCCAGCTGATCGAAGAATACGGCGAGGGGGACATAGAGGATCGCCGGGGGGGAGGCGACGAGCCCCTGGAGCTCCCCGAGGGCACCTCCTTCCGAGTGGACAACAAGCGCTTCTACTTCGACGTGGGATCCAACAGGTACGGCATTTTCCTGAAGGTAAGTGAGGTGAGGCCGCCCTACCGTAACACCATCACAGTTCCATACAAAGCATGGACACGGTTTGGGGAAAATTTTGTCAAGTACGAAGAAGAGATGAGGAGAATTTACAACAGCCATAAAGAAAAAAGAATGGATGCCAGAGGGGACAGTGGTGAAGAGCAAGAGGGTCTCGAATAGAGTGCATTGGACTGGCCGTCTGGCAAAATAAACAAAACAGAACAAGCAGAAATTGGTGAGAGGGACTGACCTATAGTAATTTCAAGTTGCCCCATTTTTTTGTAAAGTCCTTTTCTGGTAGTTCTTGCTAACTCCAGTCCATAATGTTATACGAGTCTGGTTATCACGTTAAATTATGCCCAAAACCTCTCTGTATGTCTTATGAAAGTTCCAACCTTCTGAGTCTGTATGAGTCAGCTGCTTCGAGTGTTGAAGACTATGGAAGTACGTGTATCAGCACAAAAAAAAATCCAGCACTCTGACCTTTAAATAGTCTAGATAAGGCTTGTGTTGCACTTCAACGTGTTACAAAAAAAAAAAAAAAACAAACCCAAACCTTATGCTGAAATGTATCGGTTTCTGCTTATGATGGGTTTTCCGGGACCGAATTCTGCCCGTACTCGGTCAAAACGCCGAGCAGCATAGCCGTAGGGCATTTACAACAAAAATCAACTTCATGTGAATTGCTGGTATGTGTATGAGCAGAGGTAGAGGTTTTAAAATTGGCATCTGCTGGTTACTGAGTTTGAAGTGATATCCTGTGTGGTTAAAACCTCGATGGCTGGTCAGACTTTTATAATGTGCTGGTGAAGAGTGGAAGTTCTGTTATTCATTTCGTAGTTTTGCGCTGACCAAATAACCTGAGTATCCTGGGATAGCGAAGCTCTACTCAAGTGCTAAACCCTCTGAGTTAATGGCAATGAATAATAACCCACTCCTCATCTATGTGTTCTGCCCACGCGAGGCTGGTGATTGTTTTTATTTTTAATGCATTTGTCCAAAATTTCAAAAGGTATTTTTGTATTAGGGGTGTTATGGGTTCCAGCAGGCAGCTGTGGAGCGGGTATTTGGAGGTGGAGGGACTGCCGCGACCGAGGCTCCTGGCTTCTCTCCCAAACGTGAGCTTAATGCGGTCGTGATGTTACCCATGCGAGGAAAACACCCGGGCGTTTTTCTCCTCCCGCTGAAAGAAAGCCCTTTGGGGGGTTTGGTGCACCATTAGATTTGTATAAAAAGGCATCTCTCTCATACATACCCGTAGCGCGTTTCAGAAGCTGTGGTTAACGCCGCGTCGGGTTTTCTGTCGTGTTCATTTTACAGGTGTTGTCAGGAGATATTATCCGTGCCCTGCCATCACCCCTTTCCCACCCGCCCAGAGCTGGGGCTCTCATCAAGCAATTCAACTCCTGAACCCCCACCACCAGGTTTCAGTGTCATCCCGCTAAAGTCTCTGTAACGTAAATTTTACATCTTGCAATATAAAGTCTCTGCCAGGAGGGAAAATTTGTACAATTGCCTGCTTAGGAGGTTGGCGAAAGATTTTGAAAATTATTTGTCGTTTCTTAAAACATGAGTACTTATAACATAAGGGGCTTTTCTAACCTTTGGGCGACCAGCTCCTTCCCCTCTGAAACCTGCGGGAGTTTGATTGAGCTCCAGGTACTTCCAGTAACATGTTGTCCACCTTTAAGATTTTTTTGAAGCAGGCATTACTGTGTCTAATCAGATATTTATAATCATTTGAATAATTTTTTTTTTTTACAGAGTGGCCTAGTGTGCACGTGGACCAGCTATATTTTGCTGTGCAACTGTTACATGTTTATTTTTTTTTTTAATCTGTTGAGGAACATATTTATTTCCAACCAGACCATTTATTGCTCTTAGCCTGGACCCACCTGCACGCTGAACGGCCACGCTCAATCAAATGCTATTACCTGTTAACGTCATTAACCATAACGAGAAAAGTTGGGGAGGCAGGGGTGGGAACCAAGAGGATAATCTGGACTTTAGTTTGGGTACTAAAACTACGCGATCTGTTTTAAGTTAAAAAAAAAAAAAAAAAGAAAAAAAAATAAAAGCTTGCACCAAAGTCACCAAAGAACCTTTAGGAAAATGTTACGGTTGTGACAAGAAGTAAGAAAGTTAATTTCACTGTTTTAGGTGATTCCCCTTTTAGGTAAAACCACACATAGCAGTTACAGCAACCAAGCCTTTGGCTTAGTGTCAAAAACTCCCATCCGTTTCTGCTTAAATCGCTCTTTCAGGTACTTTTTCAACTCTCGGAGAGATGTTCTCGCTCCACCACTCAAACAGTTAGCGGACCATGATGAATCAGCTGGAGGTTAAACGGGGTACTGGTTCATCGTCGCTCTTAGGGCTGTGGTCCCAATGGTTTTAACAGGTCAATTAAAAAAAAAAAAAAAATAACCAACACAAAACCACCATAAAAATAACTGTACATCCTATTATTGGTGTGAAACCAGAATTTAATGAATGAGTCCTTGATGCGTACGTTAGCGTATCACTGACTGCTGCTGCCCATCACAGTGCCTGGAGTAAAAAATTAATTTATATTCCAACAAACTGGAGCTATGAATGTACAAACTTTTTACGCTGTCCTTCCTGTTTCTTCGTGGCATTCCTCCCCGACCAGTTTGACATCTCCCTGTCCCAGCCTACCTTTGCCTAAGGTATCGTAAAAGCTCCTGTGTTGGAATTAGCCCGAGTGACCACGTGTGTTGTAAGTGATCATGCCTTCCCTGTGTTCCTGTAGTGTTGGTGAGGAAAATATTTGCAATGGGCAAAGCGATTGGAAAGGGATAGTTTCTTCACCGTTTTAAAAGAAAAAAAGATGCGAAATGGCTTTCCTTATTGCTGCCCATTTTTTTTAAAAAAGAACCCTTTATCTTTTGTTAATGAATTGGCCTTCCAATGGCATTTGTTTATTGTAAATATCACCTAGGAATTCAGCGTCTGCTGCCTACTGGGTCGGGCTCGGTTCTGGCACGCAGGTATCCCGTAGGATCCACTAATGCATTTACTCCCCCGGCGCGGGATGCACCTTAGTATCCAAAACTGGATGGGGATCTCCATGTCCGTAGCCAATCACCCATGGGTAAACCAGTAGCCGCGGGTTTCCACCGCAATGGAAAGCGCCGCCGTTTGCAGATGTTGTCGTTGGAGGGTAATACAGACTCACTGGAAATGTAGCAATGCAAGACGTTTAACGGTGAGATTCGGAAACGGGTTCCTTGTTATTTTTGGCAGCGCGTCTTCAGCTTCTGCGAGCGGCGATAAGGCGGGCTGCTCGCACGCAGAAGGGCCCATCAAGATGCTCGGGAATGCCGAATCCCTAATGCGTTTTAAAGGTTTGTTCCTGATGCCCTGAAACTGCCACGTCCCTTAAACTTGAGAAAACACAAGCTTATTTGCACTAGAAAGAACGGCCAAAAACAATCCTTAGGAGGACAGGGTGAAGAGCACCAGTCTGAACCTCTTTTTCTCATGAGAGAATTTCCTATTCAAGCCCTCACCTCTGTTTCGAAATTGTACGGTCCCGGCAGAAAGTCTGTCAGTTCAATAATTGAATTGTAATGCACTTTATATTGTGTAAATAATACTAGGAGCACATTTCTGCTCCCGCTCTGGTAAGGGGATGCTTCAGTAACGTAGTCTAATGCTGAAAGAAGTCGTCTCCCGCATGCACGTGTCTGTTAGAGACCTGTCGTACTTGCTTGGTCCAGCTCCGCTCGTATGTTAGAGGAGGACAGGCGCTATATCGAGGATCCTCTCAAACCACCAAGAGTGGGATGATTTTTTTGTTTTGTTTTGGTTTTTTTTTTGTTTGTTTTGGTTTGTTTTTTTTGAGTTGTGATTTGCAGAGCCGCTGAGCACCCTCAGCTCCGCCGTCGCCGCGGCTCCTTGTCCCTTCTGCAAATCGGGCCCCCAGCGTCACTGCCGATGCTAAAACACAAGCTTTTCACATGTCCTCTGGACAAAGCCGAGTCCAGCAGCTCCCTCGTACTTGGCTTTCCCCGCTGCTGGCGCAGAAGCCGGGGTGGTCCCTAAAAAGCTTATCCCAGATGGAAGGGGCCGTTGGGGCTTCCCTTGCCTTGGAGCCGGGGGGTTTGTTTGGAGTCCAGCCCATCGAGCCGGCCTTCTCCACGAAGTACGGAGGCAGGGGCGTGCTAACGAAGGGTCGGAAAGCGTTTTGCACTGGTGTGGTGAGGGTGACTCGCCGGGCAGTCCGGGGGGGGATGGCAAGACCCGCTGCCGCGGGATCGTCGCGTCAAGTCTGGGTGACGGACTTTACCCAGCAAGAAGCTGCAGCAATTATTGGTAATCGACTCGTCGTCGTGTTTCTTATCTGTATCCGATATATACAAATTCATATTCACATATAAGCATTAATATATTTATGTGAGTATATTGTAGCCTGTAGTAGCTTGTAGCAAAATAATCTTATTTATCTGAAGTACGCAGTCTAAAGAGGGGTCAGTTTTCTCCTACTACTGGTCTGGATAAACGCGTTATTTCACCGAGAGCTGGTTGCGTGCTGTTTGTCGCGGTCCTTGTAAGATTTCTGCTTTTAAGCGCTCTCATCTCTTAGGTTTTCAGCAAGGCTGCAAGGGAAAACATAGTCACAAGAAGGCAAAACTCTTCCTTAGAGGTGTCGTTGAGGTGAGGTGAGAGCTGTAAAGAAGAGGCAGCTGCAGGTACTGCTGGCCACATCGTGTTTCAGTGCCATCTTACAGACCCCTGGCTCTTACAAACATGTATTACCATGTCCATAAAATCCCAAGTAGGAGTATTAAAACCCCATCCTTTATACAAAAAAAAAAAAAAAAAAAAGCAAGCGATTACCCAAATCAATGTCAGCACACTTTTTTTTCTGCTAAAGATTTTGTAGTTTAATGCTTGCATCATTTTTTTCCCTATGGCCTATTGAAGTGACCTAAACTGACAAGGAAGGGAGTTGGTAGTGGATAGGAAGCCTACTG